TGAGGTATCTACTGGCTTGATTGACTATGAAGGTTGATGTGCTGGCTAGACCCAGTTTGCACTTCGTGTCTGATATATGTTGATTAATGAATGCTTTGGCTTGATTGTAATCCATACTGAGTAGCAAACCTGGAGAAAAACCCATGGATGAGATGTTGCTACTGCCTATTTCCATGTGGACTGGAAGTCATCCTTCATAGTTACTGGGGCAAGACCAAGTGGAGAAAGGGATATTCTGAGCCAGTAGTTGAGTATGACCACCCACACTCTGGCCTCCACGTTCATGAAGCCTGTCTCTAGTTGCAGGATGGAGATACATTTTGGTACTTGTGGGGCCTATCTTAGAATTTTTGATTCTAAGCTCTAGGGGGGCAAAATTGGAGAAGGAGCCAGGTGGGCTCCATGGTCACAGGCTTAGGAAAAAAATCATATTATTTTATCTTACTCTGTCTAGCTCTTATCATATTATAACTTCAGATGCAGATTGTTATTTCCCTGCAATAGGGAAAAACTGTAGTAGGACTCATACATTGATATATCATCCTAATGTACTATTTGTAAAACATTTTAGTTTTTATCCATGGATGGATTCATTTGATAAGGAGATAATTGCAATAAACAGTGCAATACCATTTGTCTGTACTGAAGATTTATTTACTCTTTTTATAAGGGTCAGTCTAGGTTCCCATTCTATTTTAACATGATCCTCAATAATTGTGAATGATATCCTACTGTGGTCTGGGAAATAAACTTATATAGAGATAAGGAATTAATACTATGGAAGTCATAACAATATGTACAATTACTTGAGGATAAGGCTCACTAACATTTCTTCTGTAAACATATAATAATTGAGGATAAACTCTGTTGCTAAAGATAACAATATGCTAATTACATTAATGTGTGCAGTTTTATGTTTAATGTAGTAAAGTAAGATTAGTAGCTTTACAACAGTTTTGGTTTTTTCCAGAATTTCGTTTTCCTCCAGCTATAAAGCTGAGAATATGAAAGTGTTATTACCTTAGGTTAACGTTTGTGAAAATTGTGCACACTAATTTATAACTAGATCCCACAAATCCTTTAAGATGTGAGTTTTTTCTTTGTATCATTTCATAAGGATTAGGTTTGATCATAGATTTTCTCTAAGTGGAATAACTTCCAATATATTGGATAGAATATTCTGATTTAATATTTATTTGGTTATTCTTTTCTTAGAATAATCAGATGTATCTGTGGGAGCATGAGAACTAGATAATAACTTTCCTATATGGTACAAAGCTAGAAGTCCTTACGATATCCAAGTAGATGCTTTGCAAAAGCTGCTGGAAGATGATTTCCAAGATTATTTTGTGAAAATTTCAAATTAACGAACAGAGAAAGGAAGAAAGAAACAAAAGGCTGGGTCCTTATAAAGAAAGTGAATTGAGAATTTGTGAATTATTAACCTCTTTTATTTATGTAGTCAAAATTCAAAATTTATGTATTCAAAATTCTGTCTGGTATCTGATGTTATCTTATTGAACCGAACTATGCTTTGTTGAGTTTCAGTATTATTTTTTTTACTTTCTGTGTTTCTTCATTGTAGCTTGCTGCTTGTGTATTCTTTCCAACCTCTTCCTCCTCATTTCAGTACTCTCATTTGTAGAAATGTATTGTCTTTATTTTGATTTTTCTGATCTTTACCTCTGATCTTGTACCCCTGTGTATCTCTTATCTAGTGAGCCATCTTCCTTCAGGATGTCCTGTCCCTGATATGCTGATATGCTCTACCCCAATTTGGGACCCAAGGCAACGAGTATAGATAGCATATATTATAGATTATAGGTCTGGACCCTCATTGATTCTTGTTGCCTTCCTGATCCTTCAGTGAATTTAGTAGTATGGATTTAAGTCCTTGAGTATTTCATCTTTATTTGAGAGGGAAAATAATTGCAGTCATTTTGTTCCTACTGCAGGAGAAAATATACCGGTATTCTTCTGCAATATTCTTATGTTCAGACATATTGAAGTGCTGTGCAGCGAATATTACATTTTTTGTGAGCAACCATGGTTTTTTTGGTTGCTCAAAAAGAGGTTTCCTGCACAGGAAGAGGTTTTCTGCACAGGAAATTGCACATAAAACAGGGTGGATAGGTGAATTCAAAACATGCTTTCCTTGGGAGAATGTTTTTTCAACACTTTGAGACACTATCAGAAGAAACATTTCCAAAATTATTACTGAACTATTATTCTTCCTATCAGAGTTCCTCAACTGTTGGAAAACCAATTTTTAAATCAAGGAATGAATAATTATTAATTTAGTAACCCCCAGGTTTGCACTGAAGATGAGTTCCTGCACCAGTTCCTAGAACATGTCACATTATTTTACAAATACTCTGCTTTGTCTGAAATTAACCTGTATCTTATATTATTGTAATAGTTCGATTAAAGTACATTCTTAAAGTATACAACTTTCAGTGAATATTGCAGTACACAGGTAGATGTTTCTGTATTTTTGTTATCCCTTCTTGATTTAAAGATGATTTATGCAAATTAGTATCACATTAGAACATATCAAAAATGTATAATTTATACACTCAGTGACTTATTTCTGAGATGTCAAACATATTTCATTGCTTCATTGTTTGGAGTCCATTCAATATACTTTGCTCTTTGCTTATATTCAAGCAGATATTTTTTTGAAGAGCATTTGGATTTGTTCCTTTTCTTACAGCTTTAACTACAATTTTTTTCTTAGTTAAAAAAAATAAATCCCTGGTACTCAATTTCCCTTCATTTTACACATAACTTTAACTCCAAGCCAATGGGGCTGTGAGTAAAATGTCCTCATAATGGTTTTATCAAAATTGTATTTGGAAATAAAATTGTACACATAGATTAATAAAAACCAAAGTGGAATGGAGATAAAAGATTGTTGGGTCTAAAATAATGAAATGCAAAAAAAAAAAAAAAATTGGGAAAAAAGTATGTACTTAAAAATAGTTCAAAAGACAAAATGCTATGTCGTGGCTTCAGTGAAACTGTGTTGTAATTCTGTTTGAGTGTGTATGTTTCTTTTTTTATTTCTTTCCTCACAAAAAGAGGTTTAAACAAGAAGGCAACATTTCTGAATTATTATAACAGTAATATAATGCAGCACTGCCCTATAAACGCTCCCCCCCCAATACCTAGTTTATCTAGACCAGGGGTTCTCAAACTATGCTCTGTGGATCCCTTGGGGCTCTGCAGGTGATAGTGATTTGATTGTGTTTTTCCTGCATGGCAGAAGGAAGTTGAACTGGATGGTCCCAGGGGTCGTCCACTAAAACTTTCAAGTTCATGTTGATTAAATATTGTATAGTTCTTTCCTTTCCTTTTTCTTTTTTTGCTCTATGAATTAGTTCACCTAAACCCTCTCCATCCATCTGCCACTGGTCCAGCCAATGCCTGATATATATACACATTATAAATAATATAATATGTAATATATTACATAAAATATAAACATTTATTGGGGCTCCATGAAAAACTTCGAAATGGGCTCAGTGACTGAAAAAGTTTGAGAACCCCTGATCAAGACTGTTTATGCCTGTTTCAAATATTAAATTATGGAAATTCTCATCAATAATGTGTTAGAAGAACATGCTCAACTCAGTTGAGTGTGAATTGAGTAAAAAAGGAGAAAAGAAAATCCCTTCTAGCTTTGATAGTAATTTTCTTGTAAGAATAAAATAGACTTGTGGCCTAATTTATTTGGAAATGAATTCTATTGTATTTAATACAGATTATTTCCAGGTAAGTATGTATAGAAAATTTTCATTTTAAATTTATTTAAGGGCATCTCCTTCTCTTTTATTCCCGTAATATTGTTTAAATGATTTACTTCCTTAGGTTTTAATTGTTTAAACCTCTTTCATTTTCTACTGTCTACTTTCTTTACTTTGGATGGATTGTTTATGGCAGCAAAATTGTCTATCTGGCTACCTCTGTTGCAACTGCTTTTAGGTCATACCTAATTTGGTCACTGTATTTTTGAATGTTGTATTACAGTGTTGTGCTCCAGTGACCTGGATCATTGGATGGATCTTTTTTGTAATGGAACTCTGTGCAACTCCTAGACTTTTACTATACATTCTTAGTTTTCTGAGTTTGTTGTTTATTGTGTTGAAGCTAAAACACAACTAGGGCAAGATATAATTTCTTCATATTTGGGATCACGGTCATTTCCAGGTCGTCTTCAGCTGTAGCTTGAAAAATACAAAGCTACAGTTTAGTATTCACTTGTAATGAAATATAATCAGAATATTTTATTTATATCCCATATTTCTCCTGATATGAGCTATGAGTCAAAACTATGTGCATGAATTATAAATTAGTACTAAAAAGTTAAAATATAGTTGGATAAGATATTGTAATAAAACAACAATACTTTAAGATTACATAATTTTTACAAACTTGTGACAAGCCTGTCTCTCAACAAAATTCCTTTATTTCCCACTCTAATTACAATTAATTTGGTGAACAATAAGATTAAAATAACCTAGTGTATCATAAGTATGTATTTAATAAACTTATTTCCCTTAATGTTGCATGTTATTAAATAGTTTTTGAATATATAATACTTTGTACAATAATGTAAAATTCCAGCTCCCAGTTTAGGAGCTCTGAGATAGTCATTAAGTGATTCCCACACTATATAATGTGTTTAATTCTATGTGAAAATAATTGCACAAAACTGGAAGATTAAGCACAGAGACTTTGAAATCAAGCAGTTTAAATTCTGTGCTATTTTATTTTTCCAAAACAATTCCATACAGAAAATCGTCTGGCAATAAAACTGTCTCAAAATGGAGTTAGGAATGTCTAGCTGGAGATCTGGATAACAACTAAGCAATAGTATATTATTCTGTATTTTTTTTATATAACTTAAGTTGCAAGAGAGCCCATACATATGGAAAAAAATACAAAATAACAGATATTTATAAATGGCTTTTACTTAAATTATTGGGATTTGTCTCCAGGAAAAAGAAATGGAAAAACAAAAACTTTTGTACCAGCAAGCAAGATTGCATGATCGGGGAGCTGCCGAGATGGTTCTTCAGACAATTAGTGCTAGTAAAGGTAAATAATGTTAAATGTGCATTCTTTTGCATTTTTCACGTGTGCCAGCAAAGGTTTTCCTTAAATCACAAATGACAGCTTTAGTCAGGCCACTATTTTATAGGCATTTTATGTAAAAAGATACATATTTACCTCCAGCAATCCTGAGATAGCTCAGATTTCCACAGAGCTGTTTTTCATAAGCAAAGAAAAGTGCAAATGTTAGTGTGACGTGAGGATTACATAGCAATGTAAATCTTCATTCATTTTATTTTTTAAAGCAAGAATGAATAATTCTATAACTTTTCTCCTTGTGCAGCAGTTGTGTGTGGGTTAACATGCTTCCATATATATATATATATATATATATATATATATATATATTATGACTATATATATATATATTTGCTTTTCAGGTGAGATGGGACCAATGGTTGCAGCTACACTAAAACTTGGGATTGCCATATTGAATGGTGGAAATTCTACTGTTCAACAGGTAATATTGCTTGGATCTTAAATCTATTTCACATACAATCCTGTATCTTTTGAAATGGTGAAATTGGAGTGAGGAAATGGTAGTTTGTTGGGTATATGCTGTTTCCTTAATCTTTTGATCCCTGGCTACCCCAAACACCCTCTAGGACAGTTGAGGAAATTGGGTGGGGGTGGGAAAAGATTTTGCCACATATTTGGGATCTCCGGGACATTTAAAAAAAGGAGAATATATAGAAAATGCCAACTCCTTTGATTAGTTAAGCACTTGAACATTTTAAGTGCTCCTCTGTAGATTATTTAATAATTGACAGATATCTTATGAGCCTGGGTGAACTTTGAAAGGACCTTCAGGTTCTCAGGTCTTTACAGAGAAGGAGAAAAGGTGCCTTTTTAGTTGTGGTGAGCTGAGTATAAAACATGATCCTACTTTTTGAGCTCTTTTGGGAAGAACTTAGAAAAGTTACTTTTTGTGGGGGCTACAACCCCAGGGAAGCTATGCTGGCTAGGGACTTTTGTGAATTAAAATAATAATTAAAAACCCCAATTTATCAAATTCTGATTTTGAATGCCAGTCGTTTCCTCCCCATGTTCACTCATGCATCTTACATATTTAAATCTTTCTGCGTTAAGCTTCTTTGTTCGCTGTTGTTTTTTTCTATATCTCTTTATTATTTTTAGTATTTGCTAGCTACTGTTGCAGCCCTTGGGACTACAATTCAATTTAAATGTCTAAAATGAATAAATAAAAGTAAATCACATTTCTATACAAATTTTCAGATTTTGTTTATTTTTCCTTTAGAAAATGCTTGACTACCTTAAAGACAAAAAGGATGTAGGATTCTTTCAGAGCCTTGCTGGCCTTATGCAGTCTTGTAGGTAGGATAACAAATATTGTATTATTTAAGTACATGTATTAGCATATCAGCATCATTCCAATAGTGAGCTTGATTTTTCTATGCTTGTAAGCATGAAAATATAACATGAGTATGAAATTGTTTCTATATTCTCATGAGATTTCCTAGATAGGTATTCTGAACTATACTAGATAGCAAGTTTAAAGCAAAAATAAAAGACACAAACTATAAGCCCTGGTTAACCATCTGGCCGCAGCTCTTTAGCTGACGTTTCTGAACACCCTTCTCATTTTAAAAGGGAAAAAACTGATCAGTTGATTGGGATTTCAAAGGAAAGGAAACATGAATGGAGAGCTATTTGAACTCTCTGAAACTCATTATTTAACACTGTAAAAGGTGGGGGGAAAATATACAAGATATATATATATATACACTTTGGTTGATGTAATGAATTGAGGATGGAATATAAGATTATTGAAGGTATTGATGTATTGATGTATTCTAAGAAACCAATTAAAATGTTTGAAAAAAAGCTGTAATACTGTAAACAGAGCTTTAATAAATATTATAGGGCTGTACAAATCATTTTCAGATCATAAGTGTGGTTCCTTAAAGCTATTACTACTCTAGAGGAGACAGGAGTCTTGGGTGTGCAGCTCTCTCCCTGCAGGAGGCAGTTTTCCAGGGGCTTCCCAGGGAAGGAAGAGAGATCAATCTGGAGGTTTCCTGGCCTGGCTTCCTTAAAAAAGTCCTCCCTTTTCTCTTGATTTGGAGGTGGAGAGGAGATTGAAGTGGCAGCAAAGAAGAGAAAAGACATTCTAAGCTTCTAATGCTTTGAGTGTCAGCCAGGCACCAGTTCCCCTTTCTGCCATCAAATCAAGAGAGAAGGGAGGGCTTTTTTTAGAGAAAGTCAGAGAAGGATACCTCCAGGTCCATCTCTCTTCCATCCCAAGGAAGCCCCCTTAAAATGCCTTGGAAAACCGCCGCCAGTTTTCTCTAGAGCAGTAACAACTTAACGAACAACATATATGCTCCAAAATATTTTTTTAATTCTCTCTGCACTGATCCATATATGTGCACATCCAAATATGCTTGTATTTATTTGCGCATAACCATATATTGTTATATTAGCACATAACCGTGTATATGTCTGCCCTCCATTTTATCCCAAGATGCAGAAAGGCTGTAAGGATGGTGGGGAAGAAAACCCATGACTAGTAGGTCTGTGTGGGAACCTGCTCTGAGTTCCTGGGTTTTTTTTTTTGCCCCTCTTTTTTGCCCTTCTTTTTAATCCTGTGTTTTGGCACTGTCTGGAAGTGCACTGAGATAGCTTTTATCATAGCGCTGGAATGATGCTGAACTCCATGGTTTCTCATTGATGTTGCATTGGGGGCTGTGTGGTGGTGGTTGGAGTGTGGAGGGATGGGTTTGTTGCTTTTGTGATGTGTGCTGGGAAAAGCATTTAATTTCGTTGTACAATGTACAATGACAATAACATTAATCTATTCTATTCTATTCAATTCTATGTAAGATAAGAGAATACTGACCATAAAAGCATAACTGTGACTTGCTATTTTTAATTTTAGTGTACTTGACCTAAACGCTTTTGAACGGCAGAACAAAGCAGAAGGCCTTGGCATGGTTACAGAAGAAGGATCAGGTATTATCTTCATAATGGATAAGACTTGTGGTATTCTGCTGTATATGCATTTTAAAAAAATAGTTATATTCAAACATATTCATTGAAGGGCGACAGTAATTTGTAAATACCCATCCTGGATTGGAAAATAATTAATCTTGAACACATGGCCATTTAATTATCTTGAAACAAACAAAGAAAAAACAATTTTCTGAAGTAATCTTTCAATTATTAAAAAATCTATACACAAAAAATGAAATAACACAGAAGGACAATATCTTTAGGATTTTTTTTTGCTGAAAGTGTTTTACGTTTTTAAAAAGATGCTTTCATTTAAAATATAAACGTCTGAACTTTTGATTTTGAACCAGGTTACCTCTTCTATCTCTCATCAATTCAATATTGTTTTTCATTTGCTGCCTTTTTGTTTGGTTGGTAATTGTTTCTTCCGATTATCACTGGAATATTTTCTCTGTGATTATTTATTCTGCTAAGCTCTCATTCTTTCTCTGTTTTCATACTGGTATTTTTTCCATAATCTGCTCCAAGTAATCCTTTTCATGTCTTGATTCTTGAAAAATAAGAGGGGACACATGGCTGTTTTTTATTGTTGTATTTTGGAATTCCCCATGTTTGATATTGCATGTGTTAATGTGTAGTTTGTCTGCAATCATTTTGCCTGATATATCTTTGATTATTCAAGTTTTTCATCAAGCTGAAGACACATTAACTTGACTGAAAACCTTTACCTCTTCTGTGAAATTATGTTTTTCATCAAATATGCTGCATTTCTTGATGTGGCATTCAAATTTATCTTTACTCATTAGAGTAATTCCTTAAGATCAGCTCAGATGAGTAAATTTTGGTGTTCAGGTCATAGAATCAATGAAAATTATTCTCCAGAATGCATAGATATTGGGGACATAATTTATTTTTATAGATATTCTCCGTAATTATTCATAATAACACTTGATTTTCATTTCAAGAAGTTCATTTTTTTCCTTTTAAAACTCTACATATGTTATTTCGATGGAAGATGCATGTACGTATAAACAAGTGGCATGAATGACTTATCTGATGTTGGGATATTTTTATGCTTCTTCATCAGAAGCTTTTTCAGGTTTTTTTTTCATGATTTTGAAATTTGGCATTCATAGAAAAAAATAATTGCGAAAAGCAATGCTACATATATTTTAAATCTGCTGAAACAAATTCTCACTTTTGTTCTTTTTCCCCATTTTCTTTTCTTTGAAATAAATGTCCTGTGTTTCCCTTCCTCAGTCATCACTCATGAGCGTGGTAATTATTATACACAAATTGCCTTTCTTTTTCCTGTTGTTAGCTTTGTGTCAGCACTGTACAGCTCCTGAACACCATGTAGTTTGTTTTTGTTCTCAGAATTTTAAAGAGTGGGCACTTTTTTATTTTCATTATTATTATTGTTGTATTCTCCAAAGATTCCATTTGTATGCCAACTTTCCCCACATCTTTGTTTTTTCCTCCCTTTCTCAGGATTTGCACAGTAACTGGCACACTAGATGTAAGAGCAGCAAGCTTTTTTGGTTTTTCTTTTTCTTTTTTGGCTTCATTTGGTGATTTTTATTTTCTTAGTGGGCCAAGTACTTGTGATAGTTGGATGTAAATAAAACGTGTGCGTATGATATTAAAATTCGCCATGTGCTGTAGTCTTCCTGTAGCATTTATGTTGTGTATTTAATGTGGCTTTATGGCTGCATTGGTTTGTGCAATCATAGGAAATCAGTGGAGGATCCAGATGGGGTTTGAGGATGAAATAGAGGGAATGTTTAAAGATGGAAAGCACCTTTATATTGTAAAAGCAAGCAAAATTAATGCATGTTTACAAAGCTGATAATGTTGCTGATTTTAATGTGCAACACTGAATCACATTAAAGGTTATGTCATTTAGTAGAAACAGATTATAATAGACAAGACTAAACTAAAAATATAGTATTAAAAAGAAAAAAATTAAATTCCAAGTATTGTTTTATTTAAATCAGTGTTGACAGATAATTATATCACTACAATCACCCTTTCTATGATTATTTGTTTTTATAAATGTACTTTCATATGTAAATGATTTGCCAGCAAAAGTTAAAAAGGCAGTATTTATGAATGATACACTCATAATTATTCAATACGTGCATAGAAAATACTTATATTAAGAAAGGAGAAGACTTTCAACTATTTTGCCGTAATGCAGATGGAATTTATGTTTGAGTGAGCTTCCTTATTTTACTGTGGGGAAAACTAGTACCTTATCACATTGGGATAGACTCCATGTATATCAGTACGCACCCCGTATTCTTTTAGGATTGAATGCGCACTGTATGCAGACAGGATGCATTTTCTATCCATCACGCTCAATTATGATGATTCTTACTATTTGAAAATACTGTGCTTTGACTCCTCACTGAAGACTGATTTCTCTCAGTCCATTCAAATGCCTCCCTACATCACTTTTTTCAAAATCTGTTATATTACGCAGTGGTGTAACCTTGAAGTCTTGAAATATTCTCACGAGATTTTAGCTTACACAATGTATAAATTTTCAACTCACACATAAAAACAGCACCTCATCAATGTATAAAATCATAGTAAATAAAAAAGATTATTAGAATCCCGTATAAAATTCTGGCATTTTGGCATTGTTAGCAGATGGATTCCAATGGATTATTGACAGAATGGGGCAAATGTCATGTGATAGGATCTGTTCAGAACTGTGTTCAAATACAGAGTGTATCCCAACGTGATAAGGTCCCTAGGAATGCATATGAAGTGAATACAGAGAGTCACTGAAACAGACATCTTGGTTGTCATTGGGTGTTACCGATCATCAGCTTTCAAAATAGAGCAGCAATGTATACTGTATTTCTAATAATTAGGGATCAAAATGGAATGGAAGCAATTCCTCTTACACAGCCAGAATTTAAATATGGATGATAGTTAACAAATGATTCCATTATTATTGCCTGGCTGAACACTATAACAAACTACTAACGTTCTAAAGACCCAGAACATATATTGTTTTTCAAATAACTAAGCAGAAGGAAATTGTGAATGTATTATGTAATGCAGTAAGATAAAAAATACACTATTCATTTACTGAAAAGTGTATATTTTGATTATGTAAAATTATGTTATTTTGCTGTAGACAACACTTTTAGAGAATTTTCAGAAATCTTACTGTTGTAATAGGATGCAATGCAGAAATATTACTGGACACAATATAATACAGAGAATCAATATGGCTAAAACTTCATTGCCAGTTTTTTTCCTTTATACTCTCCTTCCTCCCCATAATATTTGTCCTGATCCTTTACCACTATGATTCATGTAATGGTTGATTTTTTAAAATACTGGACCCCCCACTGGTAAAATATTGTTGATTCTTTACCAGATCTGTACCTAATCTGTCTTCGTGATGTAATCAATGTTGCATTTCCTTTGTTATGTTTTACTTACTGTCATTATTACTGGGGAATGAGGTTCAAAACCAAAGGCATATACTTCACTTTGTGTTACCTTGTGTTAATTTCCATACTCTTACAATCTATACAGATATTCCCATAGTCATTATAAGCTTGAAAGTGCATTTTCTCTCTCCCTTTAGTCTTTTTCTATGGTTAAAAGACAACCATGCTTAAGACATGTTGTTTTTATTATCTTTCTGATGTCTTGCTGCTCTTGATATAACATTTGGTATTGTTTAGTTTTTCTCATAAAAGATACTGAAGGAAATCTTTTAAATGTTGTTATGCAATGAGAAAATGGAATTTTAAAAAACCTGTAATAGTAATATATTTAGCATCATTAATTTGATCAACGATTTTTAAAATAAGTAAATTCCACTTATTAGATATGAATTTGCTTCCCAGATAGCACTGTAGTGTAAGTAAGCAGATGTGAAAAAATGTATTTCATCATTGGCTGAGTCTACACGTAACAAAAAAGGATTGGTCCTATTTTGCACCTCCTGCAAGTTAGAGCTATGCAAACTATTGACCATGGGTTGTTAACTGGAAACTTTGATGACTTCTCTCATGCACCTTGGTTGCTATTTGCAAGTTGGGGATAAGGTATGGACAAAAATCCCTTTGTCTTGCAGCTTTTACTTGCAGAAGGACTGAAATCAGAATGAGTTAGAAAAAATGTTATATAATTCAGAAGAAAACCTAGCGTTACAACACGTTTTGTCATAAGTTCTGATTTAAGTGGTGGCACAATAATATATGGCCGCAGTCACTGTTAAATTATAATTCCCACACAACTCTTGATATCATGATTGAGTTAATGATGACTTTATATATAGGTCCAAATTCAGTGCCACTCTGGAGATTGCCATGGAACATTTTAAAGGGACACAATAATAAAACTGGGAGGACAGCAATGACCATTTATTTTAACCCACTGCCATTCAGAAAAACACAACTAGTGCTTTTCCAAAGACTTTCCAAGAAGTGTATGCTTTTCTTTCTCTCTGCATACATTGTTCACTGATCCATGAACACAAGCTCTGGAGGACTTCCTAGCCTTCTAGACCTAGGATCCTGAAATGAGCATCTCTATGTGACTTATTTTGCTAGAATCTGCTGATTTGCAAAATGGAAGTCCGTCATTGGGCATTGCCCATAATGACTTGATAGCCAACCAAAAAAGCATTCTGTTTCATTTTTCTGAGAGAAACTGATGTGTACAGTATTCTACCAGGTGCTGTTTAACAGCTAGGGTGGTTGGCTTGCGATATATGAAGTATATGTTTACCACAGAAGTGTTGTCAACAATAAGGATATGATAAAGACCAATACAGTTTTAGATACTAGATTTTTAAAAATGTAAGAATGCAATTTCATCACTAATACATCTTTTCTCATCTTATGAGATAGGAAATCTGTTAGCTTGTATATATTTCAATCTACATATTTACAATTATTAATAACAAGAAACATTGTATCAATAATATGGAGAGATAACCAACTATCATTTAAGCACTTTCAAGAGAGTATAACATACACCATTTTTTTCTTTCTGTCAGACATTTCTTGGGTTCAGTTGCATCTCAGACTCAAATTTTCCATGAAACCATATATATATACATAAAAGTTCCATTCAAATGCAGCATGGATACTGGCAATATTCTAGCTCTAATTAACATACAGCTGTTGATTCCTTTAATTGTTTTGGTGTGTAACCATTCTTCCAAATATCCAATGCAGAACATGCAAAATTGGTTTTAAAGGCTTCTGGCTTAGACTGCCTCTTTTCTTTTATGTAGTAGGCAAACCTACCATATATAAGTATGTATAGATTAGCTATCAATATGTTGCGGAGCTAAAAAATCCTATCTGCCTTCATGTTGACTAGAAATAATGGGAGTTGGTTAGATATAATGGGAGTAGAAGGCCAAGATTTAGACAGAGTCTCCACATACCTTTAAAAAAATCCAAAAACTGTCCCTGACAGGAAAAAAACCTTAAACCCCAGGTGAGGGTTTAAAAACTTGAAAGTCAGTCACGCAAAATATGGATGTATTGTTGATCAGTGAGTTATTAATTTATCAGGGTGATCATTTTTCTACTGACCACCACTCTTTGTAAAGGATCTAATTGTGTATATTATCTAGCTACAATAACTCACGTGACATCAATGATACATATACAAACTGAGGATAATTTATCAACTATGAGAGTTCCTGGGACAAACACTAAGAGTGTCCTGTGATGCCTTGACTAATGTGAGGAACTTTTTTCTGAATACCTAGAAAAGTCTTCTAGTTCAAAACATAGCCACCAAACAACTCGTAGAGACAAATGATTTCCAACATATTTGCATATGCTTGTGCCTTCAAGTCACCTGCTGAATTTCATAGGCTTTTCTTAGATAATGAATACTCAGAGGTGGTTTGCCATTGTCTTCTGCTAAAATTAAGACCACAGCATCTGGTATTTCTTGGCCTTGGATTTCTTGTTGGCATTGCTATTCCAGAAGTTCCTTTTAAACAGCCATGAAACACAAACAAAGTTAAATTCCAGCTATTATACATTCACTAATGCATATTTCAAATGGAGGAAACTTTTAAAAATATTGCCAAGCCTATGCTTCCACATTTTAGTGGGTAATACACATCTACATTTTACTTTTCCCCCCTCTTACGGTGAATGATTATAACTATATGTAAGTGAGCATATTTTATTGTGAACAGATGCTGTAGAGTGTCTTACATCTATGCAGCCATTTTTTTTAAAAGCATAAACCAGTGGTATATATGAAGTGGAGTTATTTGGCAACCTTTCATAATGTTTACTGATCCCTGGCTTTCCTACAGGAGAGAAGGTGATGCAGGATGATGAATTTACTTGTGACCTCTTCCGGTTCCTTCAGTTACTCTGCGAAGGGCATAACTCAGGTCTGTTAATAGAATGCCACATAACTAATTTAGTGTTGGAGTAACTAGTTATAAAAGTGCATTGCAAAAGGCTTTCCCCCCTAAATTGTAAGACAAATAAAAAGACCATGAAGACCAGTAGTAGTGCAAATTAGAAATACAGTAGTCTCACTTATCCAACATAAATGGGCCAGCAGAACGTTGGATAAGCAAAAATGTTGGATAATAAGGAGGGATTAAGGAAAAGCCTATTAAACATCAAATTATGTTATGATTTTACAAATTTAGCACCAAAACATCATGTTTTACAACAAATCAACAGAAAAAGCAGTTCAATACACGGTAACATTATGTAGTAATTACTGTATTTATGAATTTAGCACCAAAATATTACAATGTATTGAAACAGCAGTGGACCTGGGCAAGAGGCAGACTTAGTTGGATCAGAAAATTGGGTACACCTACCATGTGAAAGTCTTCCATCTCCTACCTCTTGTATTAAAAAAAAAACCCTGAACATAAATTTCAAGAACTAAAGATATATAAAGGCAGTCCCCAAATTATGAACAAAATAGGTTCTATATGTTTTTTCTTAAGTTGAATATAAGCTTCAGTTGAGACACCCTTTTTCCCATGATAACTCTTTCCGGAGTAAATTTCCCTTCCTAGGAGTAGATTTATCTCACTTCCTGTTGTCTCACCCCTGTTCTTACCTATGAGTTGTTTGCAAGTAGGATGCTTTTTAACAGGGGCTGCCTGTATATCATATATACTTAATTATGGAGCAAAATTCAGTTATTTGAAAAGGGGAAATGCAGATAAACATAAATGCAGTTATGTTCTTTAGAGAACACAAATTGTATAATGCTGGCAATTTTTAAGAAATGTAAATTTGAATGTAGTATTAATGCAGTCGCATTCTGTTTTTCCCTCAAGATTTTCAAAATTACTTGCGGACTCAGACTGGTAACAATACAACTGTCAATATTATCATATCAACTGTGGATTATTTATTGAGAGTTCAGGTAAAAATCATGCATTTGAGCAATTGTAAAAAATATGCCAAATCTTTGTTTATTTAATATAAAAATAATCTAATGCTCAACAATGGGTCACATTCAGAAAATCAGAGGGTACATTGGACTTCCTTTGGGGTCACTCCCTGATACACTTTAAAAGAACTTGGGGGGGGGGCACCCAATGCCCATTCAGTGTTACTTAGAGAGCTTTGGGGCGATTTTCTCATGTTTTATTGTGTCCAACTCATCTTAAACCCAGATGAGATGAACAGGGAGTACCAACAAGCCAATTTCTAGATGATCACATTATTTTTTAAAAGACCTCTCCTGGTTCCCAAGCACAACTGCAAGGGTATGGAAATCATTTTCATCTAAAGAAAATTCCACTAAGGAGTTTGGGATTCTCTACCCTAAAAAACCTTGGTTTTTTAAAGTGTGTGCGTGCATACTAGAACACAGGGGTTCACAAAAGAGTGGTAGAAATCACATGCCACCCATGAGCTACACTCACCTCAGTCTTGTTTTAGTTGGTATGTTGTGGAATATGGTCATATTTTCCCCATCACTGCATTATTTTTATATGTGATAGGTAAGAGAGGCCCAATTCTTCTCGAGCTTTCTCAAATCTTTAAGAATTAATTGAGTCTTAATTATCTGTAAACAGGAAATAGTCGGTCTACAAAATAAAGATGTTTATTTTGGGTTGTTGTAGGTTTTTTCGGGCTATATTAATATTTTTAATTTTGTTTAATTGTCCTAAGCAAACCGATGTCATCCTTTGCCATTTTTCCAAACTTAAGAAAATCTTAAGAGAGATTATTTGATTTCCCCAGAAATTAGACATAAGAAGACTATTTCCCTCATTTGTGGAGCCTCATTTTTTCTCATGTGTCCCAGGTTGGGAAAAGCAGGAAAAGTTTTGACTCAAGGTTTCCGTTTGCTCTGAATGTATTTGGAATTTCTTGGAGCTTCTATTGCTGACAAGCATTCTGGGAATTTTTAATTCTGAATGATGTTAATCTATTCCATAATTTTGAATATAGTTTTCTTTTATAATTTAACAAATGAAAATTTACACAATGTACTTTGTTGTTTGTTTGTTTCCCCCATGTCTAGGAATCAATTAGTGATTTCTATTGGTATTATTCTGGAAAGGATGTTATCGATGAACAAGGACAACGTAATTTCTCTAAAGCAATTCAAGTTGCAAAGCAGGTCTTCAATACTCTTACAGAATATATCCAGGTAAACTTAAAGGGCTGTTTAGAAAAATATAATGACTGATTTGAACATGAGAATGGATATCTGACATGGTGTCATTTCCTCCTGCCACATCATTAACCTCTGATGCAGTTTAACATTTCTCCACATATTCAATACAGCACTTACAGAATGGCCTTCCTCGTTTAGATCTATTCATATATACTCAACAGGAGCAGTTTTAGATCTGGATTGTTTTAAGTTTTTTGGGCTGTATGGCCATATTCCAGGTTTAGATCTATTTTGCCCTCTCCTTCATATTCTTGGTTGAACATGCATGAGGCTAATACAGTGATTGCAAATGTTTGGAGGTTCTGACCAATGCAAGAAATCATAAGTCAGAATGAGTGAGCTGGTCTAGCTTTACTATTGAGTGATATGAGGCAAATATATCGGCAAATTCTGGAGGGTGCTAGCAGCAACACCATAGTTATGCCTCTTCGGCAATCCTCCATTGGACAAATGTAGGTGGGCACAAGGACATAGACTTTAATTCTGCTCACCTCTATATGCTGGTCCACCTTGTAAACCATAAGGTTAGGACCTTTATAACAGTTTAACAATTGTTTATGTTCTACTATATTATGTTATCACTAATATACATCAATTCAAGACTGTTTAAATTAAACAGCTAGTTTTTATGGCATAAGATTTTTTTTAATCACATTCTTTATTTTTATTTATTTTATTTATTTTAAACATTTACATTCCACCCTTCTAACCCTGAAGGGGAACTCAGGGCGGAGCACAACATACAAATGGCAAACATCCAATGTCGGCGCATAAATAGATTATACACATGCCTAAACATTAAAATCATTTATCTCAATATTAAAATCTACTGTTTAAAACTGTCTCAATCATCCACATCGACTTTGGTTGGCACGGTAAGGTATCACTGTGTAACGTGATTTTTGTTTCTGGGTTATAAACGCCATTTCCTAATTGGTTCTGTCATAAAACATGGGGAAAAAACTTTATTATACTGCAAAAAACTTTGTTTTTGCTGGACACCCTGCAGCACATTTTGCTATAGTTTTTCAATGAATATCTCATAGAGCCTCAGCAAATTCAACATAGTTTGTGGCAGTCACAAAAATGAAGTTTCTGGAGTGTAATAACTACTTTCAAAGTAAGTACCACACAATTAAACAGAAAATAACACTTTCAAACCAGGAACATTTTTTCCAAATTTTGTTACATAGTGGACTTGGTTTTCTGCCAGGGATGGGAGGAAGGTGGCGGTGTTGAGGAGTTATCCATCTCTCCGTTGCCATGGACCGACCACCACCTGGTCAGCTTTAGACTAACTGCACCCCCTAACCTCTTCAGAGGTGGAGGACCCATTAAGTTGGTCCGCCCCAGGAGGCTTATGGATCCGGATGGATTCCTGACGGCTCTTGGGGAATTTCCCGCCACCTCGGTTGGTGATCCTGTCGATGCCCTGGTCGCTCTCTGGAATAGGGAGATGGCTAGGGCAATAGACATGATCGCTCCAGAACGTCCCCTCTCAAGTAGCCGAGCTAAACCAGCTCCTTGGTTCACTGAGGAGCTGGCAGGAAGCGAAGGAAGAGGGAACTAGAGAGCGTGTGGCGTTCGGACCCGAGCGAGTCAAATCGAACACGGTTTGTGTCCTTTTTAAGGGCATATGCCGCGGCAATAAAAGCCGCAAAGAAGACTTTCTTTGCGGCTACTATTGCGTCTGCAAAGAACCGTCCGGCTGAACTGTTCCGAGTTGTCAGAGGCCTTTTAAAACCCACCATCCAGGATGGGTGCCCTGATGACTCGGCAGTTCGCTGTGAAGCCTTTGCTCAGTTCTTTGCAGACAAAGTCGCTTTGATCCGCTCTGGACTGGACACCATATTAACGGCAGTCTCTGAGGATGTAACACGGGCATCTGCTTGTCCGGTTTTGATGGATTCATTTCAATTGGTTCAATCCGAGGATGTGGACAAGGTGCTTGGAGGAATGAGAGCTACCACATGCATCCTAGACCCCTGCCCATCCTGGCTTCTAAAGGAGGCCAGAGGGGGATTGGCCGAGTGGGTGAAGGTGGTGGTTAATGCCTCCCTCCGGGAAGGCAAAATTCCAGCCAGCTTAAAGCAAGCTGTAATAAAACCGCTGTTGAAAAAACCATCACTGGACCCCACTCAATTCGTCAACTTTCGGCCTGTTTCCAATCTCCCCTTTTTGGGCAAAGTCCTGGAACGTGTGGTGTCCTCACAACTCCAGGCATTCTTGGTCACGGATTATCTAGACCCGGCACAGTCTGGCTTTAGGCCGAGACATGGTACCGAGACAGCCTTGGTCGCCTTAGTGGATGATCTGCGCCGGGAGCTCGACAGGGGGAGTGTGTCCCTGTTGGTGCTGCTGGACCTCTCAGCGGCCTTCGATACCGTCGACCACGGTATCCTTCTGGAACGCCTCGCGGGGATGGGTCTTGGAGGTACTGTTTTATAGTGGCTCCGCTCATTCCTCGAGGGTCGGTCTCAGAAGGTGTTACTGGGAGACTCCTGTTCAACCCCACAACCTTTGTCTTGTGGGGTTCCTCAGGGTTCAATACTGTCTCCCATGTTGTTTAACATCTACATGAAGCCGCTGGGTGAGATCATCCGGAGTTTCGGAGTGCGATGTCATCTGTACGCAGATGATGTCCAACTCTGTCACTCCTTTCCACCTGCTACTAAGGAGGCTGTCGAGGTCCTGCACCGGTGCTTGGCCGCTGTGACGGTCTGGATGGGGGCGAACAAATTGAAATTGAATCCAGACAAGACAGAGGTACTCCTGGTCAGTCGTAAGGCCGAACAGGGTATAGGGTTACAGCCTGTGTTGGATGGGGTCGCACTCCTCCTGAAGACACAGGTTCGCAGTTTGGGTGTGATCCTGGACTCATCGCTGAGCCTGGAACCCCAGGTTTCGGCGGTGACCAGGGGAGCATTCGCACAGTTAAAACTCATGCGCCAACTGCGACCGTACCTTGGGAAGTCTGACTTGGCCACGGTAGTCCACGCTCTGGTTACATCCCGTTTAGACTACTGCAACGCTCTCTACGTGGGGTTGCCTTTGAAGACGGCCCGGAAGCTCCAATTAGTCCAACGCTTGGCAGCCATGATACTAACAGGAGCGGAGCGCAGGGAGCATACAACTCCTCTGCTGCACCAGCTCCACTGGCTGCCGATTTGCTACCGGGCTCAATTCAAAGTGCTGGCGTTGGCCTTTAAAGCCCTAAACGGTTCTGGCCCAACCTACCTATCCGAACGTATCTCGGCCTATCAGCCCACCAGGACCCTAAGATCTTCTGGGGAGGCCCTGCTCTCTATCCCGCCTGCTTCACAGGTGCGGCTGGCGGGGACGAGAGACAGGGCCTTTTCTGTGGTGGCCCCGCGGCTATGGAACGCCCTCCCCATGGAGGTAAGATCAGCCCCCTCATTGATGGTATTCCGGAAAAGACTAAAAACCTGGATGTTTGAGCAGGCGTTCGGTTAACTCAGTGCAATAAGTGTAATGATTGAAGGACTGGCAATTTGGACGACGAAACTGGATCGCGATTTTAGTCAAGAGATGAATTGGATTGTTTATTGATATATGTATTGTGGATTGTGTTTTTATGTTTTTAAACTGTATACTGTTGTTTGTTATAAGTTGTTGTAAACCGCGTTGAGTCGCCGGCTAGGCTGAGAAACGGCGGTATACAAGTATAGCAAATAAATAAATAAATAAATAAATAATTAGCTGTTTTGTTAGTTTAGAATCCTAAAATGTTTTAATGTTTTGTGTATAACATAGTCAGTCAGTAAAAGCCAATTCTTTGTGTAAGCTTTTAAAAGCCATCCTATCACAGTAGTCAATTACCAATAGATATAAATAATGCTAGATTCATGTTTGTATTGTCCTGATTTTATGACATATTAATCATATGGCTCCTTTTCCCCGTTTTTTTTTTATTACAGGGACCATGTACAGGGAACCAGCAGAGCCTTGCACATAGCAGACTATGGGATGCAGTGGTTGGGTTTCTTCATGTATTTGCCCATATGCAGATGAAGCTCTCTCAGGTACAGAATGATTTTGTTTAAATGAGATCACTCCTATTTTACTTACTTTACTTAGGCAATCCCTCGTAGCTCGAGGATGATGGTTCTCATAGTATAGTGTTTTGGTGGTGGGTCCATAGGTGGCTGTGGAGCCCTATTCTTTGTCCATGTGTTCTCACACAGTGAGGACATCGGTTTCCAAGTGGAAGGCAGTCCCGGTCAGGGTTGGCTTGACACGCCTACCTCTTGGCACATTTCTCCCTTTTGCCCTTCGTGCCTCTTTGAATTCTGCAGGACTAGTGGTCACAACTGACCTCAAGTTAGAGCGCTCAAGGACTAGGGCTTCCCAGTTCTCGATGTCTATGCCACAGTTTTTAATGTTAGCTTTAAGCCCATCTTTAAATCTCTTTTCCTGTCCATCAACATTACGTTTCCCATTCTTGAGTTGGAAGTATAGTAACTGCTTTGGGAGATGGTGATTGGGCATTTGGACAACATAGCCAGTCCAGTGGAGTTGATGGTGTAGGAGCATCGCTTCAATGCTGGTGATCTTTGCTTCTTCCAGCATGCTGACATTTGTCCACCTGTCTTCCCAAGAGATTTGCAGGATGTCCTATTTTAACATGTATATCATTACTTCTTCAATTAATTGTCTTGCAAGAATTCCAAAACAAAGTTGGCCCAGTATAAATTAACATAACATATCTGAATAGTTAAACCTATAAATGGGAAACTGCAATATGTCAATTTAATAGTCATTAGAGAAGCAGCAAATTAAGGAATTTGTATATGAGGAAAGACTTGAATCAATTGTGATGCCAAGCCTATTTTCAGAAAGTGTGGCAGCAGCTCTCCCTGATTTTTCCCCAGTAGTTGCCCATCCAAGTATTAATCAGGACTTGTCCCTTTCCAACTTTCAGAATCAGGTAAGATCAGGAGTATTCTGGATTCTTTGGTAGTATTTCAAATTGTTCTAGTTTGTGCAACTGTGTTCCCTAATATACATAATAGGGCAATTAGAGTGTAGGTAACATATTTAAAACTTTCAACAAAAGAACAATATTTAAGAAATACAATAAGATCCAATGTTCACATCTGTGCAGTAAAACAATAATTCCAAAAGGCCATTAAAAGTTTTGATTTAACAGTTAGTGTATTTCAGATATAATACTCTGTGTTCTTCAACTTTTTGTATTGCTTGAGGTATTCTAGCACTAAGTAAACATTATTTAAACTCATGCTGCTCTTTTACCAAACACATAAGCATGTGGTAATGGAGCTGACATTTATCAATTTCATTTTGCTGTCTTCCTCCCATAGTGGCTTTCAGGCTTGCAGTGCCAATTGAGGCTTGCAGTGTGGCGTTTTTTACATAAGCTTAGATGTAAAGAATCACAGACTGGGTGTCATATTCACCTGCTTTCTATTGAGATTCTTTGTTCTCAAGGATTTTGGTAGCTTTCAAAATAGTAGGCATTGGAACCCATCAAAGTTAATAGAAACCAATGTAAATCAGATATATTCTTTTGATAGCCAATATGGATGACAATTGTGATAAATAGTGTATTTTATGTTGACAGGATTCTAGCCAAATTGAATTACTAAAAGAATTAATGGATCTTCAGAAGGATATGGTGGTCATGCTGCTATCAATGTTAGAAGGTAATTTCAAATTAATATTAAACATCTATATATATAAATCTGTTAGGTTGGTTCAACGGGACAGCAAAACTCCACAAGCCCCCAACGAAACTTAACCAAAATTCCCATGCCCATAACACAACCCACAAGGTACAAACATATCTACTCAAAATGAAAAACAACACAACACACTCACAAAACGGCAAAAGAACAAAACTCAAAAAAAACCCAACAAAACTTAACCAAAATTCCCATGCCCATAACACAACCCACAAGGTACAAACATATCTACTCAAAATGAAAAACAACACAACACACTCACAAAACGGCAAAACAACAAAACTCAAAAAACCCCAACGAAACTTAACCAAAATTCCCATGCCTATAACACAACCACAAGGTACAAACATATCTACTCAAATGAAAAACAACACAACAACACACTCACAAAACGGCAAAACAACAAAACTAAAAAAACCCAACGAAACTTAACCAAAATTCCCATGCCCATAACACAACCCACAAGGTACAAACATATCTACTCAAAATGAAAAACAACACAACAACACACTCACAAAACGGCAAAACAAAACTAAAAAAAACCAACGAAACTTAACCAAAATTCCCATGCCAATAACACAACCCACAAGGTACAAACATATCTACTACTCAAAATGAAAAACAACACAACAACACACTCACAATATGGCAAAACAACTGAGCATGCGCATTGGCGCACACAGCCTTCCGGCCAACGTTCCCTCTGCGGAAGCCATGCCCACTCCAAGCCCTGCCATGCCGCTTCCCACACACACACACCCCCTGCCGCATGCACACACACAACCCCACGCTCCATCACTCCCCCCACGCCGCAAACACACACGCAACCCCACGCACCCCCCCCGCCGCCGCACACACACACGCAACCCCACCCATCACTCCCCCCGCCGCCGCACACACACATGCAACCCCACGTTCCATCACTCCCCCCGCTGCCGCACACACACACGCAACCCAACGCTCCATCACTCCCCCCGCCGCCGCACACACACACGCAACCACACCCATCACTCCCCCCGCCCCCACACACACACCCCACTCCCCCCCCCCGCACACACACGCACCCCCACGCCCCACCCCCCCCGCCGCACACACACACGCAACCCCAGCTCCATCACTCCCCCCCGCGCACACACACACACAACCCCACACTCCATCACTCCCCCGCCCCACACACACACTCAACCCCACTCCCCCCGCCCGCACACACACGCAACCCCACGCTCCATCCCTCCCCCGCCGCCGCACACACACACGCAACCCCACGCTCCATCACTCCCCCCGCCGCACACACACACGCAACCCCACGCTCCATCACTCCCCCCACCGCCGCACACACACGCAACCCCACGCTCCATCACTCCCCCCCCCGCCGCACACACACACGCAACCCCACTCCCCCCGCCGCCGCACACACACACACGCAACCCCACGCTCCATCACTCCCCCGCTGCCGCACACACACACAACCACGCTCCCTCACTCCCCTGCCCCAATCTTACCTCCTTTTACTTCACGCCACTCCAAACCCCACCCCGCCCCTTCCCGCCCTGTCAAAATCCAGGAAAGACAGGAAGGGAGGAAAAAGAGAAAGGGAGGTAAAGAAAAAGGGGGAAGGAAAGTTAGAGAAAGAAGGAAGAAGAAAAGGAAAGAAAAGGAAAGAAAAGAGAGACAGCAGAAGAGAAAGAAAAAGGGGGAAGGAAGGAAAGAGGTAGAGAAGGAAGAAATGAGAGACAGAGGGAGGGAAAGAAAGGGGAAGAAGGAAGGAGAGAAGGAAGAAAAAAAAGGAAGAAAGGAAGGAAAGAGGGAGTGAAGAAGGGGAAGATGTAGAGAAAGGGAGGAAGGAAAGAAGGAAAGAGAGAAGGAAGAAAAGAGACCGAAGAGAAAGAAAAAGGGGGAAGGAAGGAAGAGTAGAAGGAAGAAGAAGGAAAGAGGAGAAGAAGAGAAGGAAGAGGGAAGAGAGAAAGAGGAAGGTTGGTCACAGCAACGTGGCGGGTAAAGGTTGTTATTTCTATTATTATTATGATGCTATTGTTCCTATGAGACCCTTTTAGGGGGAATGGGAGAGGTGTCAGGTCCCAGAGGCAATGCATTGCATTTATTGTTATTGTTATGATGGTGGTGAAAGAAAAGGAAATAAAAAGTGGAAGAAGGAAGCAAACAGGGAGGGAAGAAAGGCAAAGGAAGAAAGGGGGAGGGAATGAAGGAAAGAGAGAAGGATGAAACCAAGTAGTAAAAGAAGGAAAGAAAGAGGTAGAGAAGGAAGAAAGGAGAGAAAGGGGGAGGAAAAGGGGGAAGGAATAGGTAGGTACCTCTCTTTCATAATAGTCCAGATATCTAACTCAACTTTGATAAGTTTAACTATAGGCCACAGCAACGCGTGGCAGGGCACAGCTAGTAGATTTATAATAACCATTTATTGACTGGATTATTTCAAACGGAAAGGCAATATGAAAAATTCTGAAGGGAAATAACTTTCAAACAGTCAGCCCTACGAAAAGAAAATGAGTTAAATCCTGCCAGCTGAAACCTTAAGAACACTCATCAACTTGTGTGTGTGGTAGAAAATACATTTAGTATCACATCTGATTTAACCAGAGTGCCATCTACCAATATAATGTTGCATTAAGTCTCTTCCTAAAAGCACAATTAAAAATTTAGTTACATTAGTTTTACACAATCATTATCAAGAACATAATATCGACTTGGGTAGGTTGCATATCCTAGTTTTTGTGGGTTTCCTTTTGTGAACAAACAGCCATCTTAAAAACCTCAAAGCAGGGTTTATACAGCTTCATTCCAAAAATTCCACCAAATCCATTCAGTGAAGGCCAACACTTGTAGGCCTTTGGTTTGCATTGCCATGTCCAAACCACTTGCACCAAATTTCTCTCCACAACTTAATCCTCAAAGATGATTCTGACAACCAGAACACAATTTGTTCAGAGAAAAGAACATCATAACTGTTCCTGCATAACTTCCTTCCTATTTCACCTATGTTCCCGCCTATTTGGCAGAACTGGTAAAATGTGATTTAACTTAGGAGGGCAGTGTGGGAATGACTTTCCTTGTGTGTTTACATATTTGTGCTTCCATGAAATTGTTTTGCAGGATAGTCAAGAATGCAATTCCTCTAAGGAAAATGAAGGGATGACTCTCCCTTTATGCTTTCATCTCCATCCCAGTCATGTCCCTACCAATTCTCCACACAATTTTTTGGTAGGCTGGCTGAAGCATGATGTAACTGACAAGAATCACAGGAGTGAAAAGTTAACTCTTCCACTCCTATTTGCTTGTTTCCTGCGTCAATGTATAATTAAAATTGTGTGTATCGCATGGCTATTTGGAACGTGGGTGTGGGAAATGAGGAGAAACATTGGCTCTCTGGCTTTACTTACTATCACAATTGGCCTGTTGGCATGGCCAGTTCTGGTCATAAGGTTTCTGGTCATAAGATTACTTCCTGTAAGGTTGTGTATATATGTCTAAGTTTTGTGGTGCTCTTCTGTAGTACTTGCCATAACTTGCATATCTTATATCTTTTTCTTCCTTAATCAGTTAATAATATATAGATATATATAGATATATATTTGAAATTATCAATTTATTTCTCTGTGTAGGCAATGTTGTGAATGGAACAATCGGCAAGCAGATGGTTGACATGCTAGTGGAATCTTCCAACAATGTTGAAATGATTTTAAAGTTTTTTGATATGTTCCTGAAACTGAAGGATTTAACTTTCTCTGATGCATTTAAAGAATATGATCCCGATGGTAAAGGTATTATTTCCAAAAGAGATTTCCAGAAAGCAATGGAAAGCCATAAGCACTACACTCAGTCTGAAACAGAATTTCTGCTCTCTTGTGCTGAAACAGATGAGAATGAGACTCTGGATTATGAGGAATTTGTGAAACGGTTTCATGAGCCAGCCAAAGACATTGGCTTCAATGTTGCTGTTCTCCTGACAAACCTGTCAGAGCACATGCCTCATGATACTAGATTACAGACTTTCCTTGAACTTGCTGACAGTGTTCTGAACTATTTTCAGCCATTCTTAGGGCGCATAGAAATAATGGGCAGTGCAAAGCGCATTGAAAGAGTATACTTTGAAATAAGCGAATCAAGTAGGACACAGTGGGAAAAGCCTCAAGTCAAAGAATCGAAGAGACAGTTTATCTTTGATGTGGTCAATGAAGGTGGCGAAAAGGAAAAAATGGAACTTTTTGTTAATTTCTGTGAAGATACCATCTTTGAAATGCAATTGGCTGCTCAGATCTCAGAGTCAGATTTGAATGAGAGATCAGTGAATAAAGAAGAGAATGAGAATGAGAAGCCTGAGGATCAAGACCCAAGGATGGGCTTCTTCTCTGTTGTGACTATCAAATCTGCTTTGATAGCTCTCAGGTATAACATAATGACTCTCATGAAAATGTTGAGCATGAAAAGCATAAAGAAACAGATGAAGAAAATGAAAAAAATGACAATGAAAGACATGATAATGGCTTTATTTTCTTCTTACTGGAGCATTTTCATGGGCTTAATGCATTTTATATCAAGTGTCTTCCGAGGCTTCTTTCAAATTATATGCAGTTTGCTCCTTGGAGGAAGCCTGGTTGAAGGAGCTAAGAAAATCAAAGTGGCTGAACTTTTAGCCAATATGCCTGACCCCACTCAGGATGAAGTGCGTGGCGAAGGGGATGAAGTGGAAAGGAAGCCAACAGAAGTTGCATTGCCTGCAGAAGATCTAACAGATCTCAAAGCCTTATCAGAAGATAGTGACCTCCTCTCAGACATATTTGGCTTGGATTTAAAAAGAGAGGGAGGGCAGTATAAACTAATTCCTCACAATCCAAATGCAGGCCTGAGTGATTTGTTGAGCAGTCCTTCTCCACTTCCTTTACCTGAAGTGAAAGAGAAAATACAGGTACCTATTATAATGTTATTATGTTTAAACTCTATCTGTCTGTCTGTCTGTCTGTCTGTCTGTCTGTCTATCTATCTATCTATCTATCTATCTATCTATATTCTATCATCTATCTGTGTACTTTGTATTTGTTCATCCCATTGAACCAACCATCAAAACTTTACTACCTTTAAGGTTTCAAGTTTTTAGTTTTGTTTAAAATTGATTTAAAATTTATAGTAAAAGTATTGTATATATTCATGTATAAGTCAAGAAATTTAAGACAAAAATCAACCTGAAATCATGATGAACTTATCCAAGTAACAATCAAGTATTGCACTGTAACAATTAGCAATTTTTTAAAAACAACATTCTTTTGATGCATTATATTATATTATATTATATTATATTATAATATAATATAATAAAATATAATGTATTGTGTTTTAATGGATCTGACTCCTTGTACTTATTATGTTTATTTAGTTTAATTCTCGGTTTCGGTTGTTTATAAGTTATATTGTGCTTATTTTATTTTTTGTTTTGCCGTGATTGTTGTTATTTGTTGGACATTGAATATTTTCCAATTTTGTTATTTTTGTAAACTGCCCTGAGTCCCTTTGGGCAGTTTATTATTATTATTAGAAACACAACAAGATGAGTCCACAGCAGACCCTCTGCTGGCTGTTGAATTGGATCATACGTCCGACACTTCCCAAGTGTCTAGGACTGTGTGTTGTATAGGCGAATGATGCATGCAGATCCCAGTAAGGTGGCCTTCTGCAGCTGGCAGATGGTAATTTTGTCAGCGCCGATTGTATTTAAGTGCAGGCCAAGGTCTTTAGGCACTGCACCCAGTGTGCTGATCACCACTGGGACCACCTTTACTGGCTTGTGCCAGAGTCTTTGCAGTTTGATCTTTAAACGTCATATCATGTCAGCTTTCTCAGTTGTTTCTCTGCAATCCTGCTGTCACCTGGGATTGCAACATCAACGATCCATACTTTGTTTTTTAACTCCTGAAAATGTCATTATGGGGAAAAGGTGTCTCAGCTGAAGCCTTACAACTAATCTTTCTTTCCACAACAAGCCAAATTGTTAAAAATCCAATTATCACAGGGACAGAAAGTGAGGTGAAATCTTCTGAACAAGGGCACAGGCAGCAAAATAAACACCACGGGGATGTTAACCCTTCCCTATGCTATCAAAAGCTAATATTTGGCTGAAGTTACACTTAAAATGTACCTGTTCCAACTTACATACAAATTCAACTTAAGAACAAACCTACAAAACCTATCTTATTCATAACTTGGGGACTGCCTTATACACAAATATATATGGTACTCTGTACAAAAGAAACCAACCACTCTTTTTCTAATCAGTGTAATAATAGAGAAAAAGAATAATGAGTTTTAAAACATTCTGATACTGTTTTCTACCTTTTTGGACATGCCTTTATTCATTCAAGGAGCAGAAGGTGAATGAAGATGAAAAACATGAGAGAGAAGAAACCAAATTTGAACATGAAAAAGGAGAGTATGTATTAACACCTTATTAAACATATCATCTTATTTGTCAATGAAATTGGTGTATTTTCATTTCAAATGGTTGTTTAAAGATTGCAGTTTGCTCCAGAACCTATATTTGCACATGTATTCTTAAGTTTGTTGCACTTGTTATATTGTACAAAATATTACACAGTGATGTCTTTAGCAGTTGTTATTATAAGCAACCTTACACCTTTGTAGTAATGAATATAATGTTTATTTTGTAATACTCTTTTCCTTTGTGACACACTTAGAGTCTATCTACATAGGCCGCATATGCTGAATTGGGCCAATTTCTCCTGAACATCCAGACAATGTTCAAGGAGTGCCATCCCTTTATGCAATGTAAAACTGGGTGTACCTGATTGTCCCCATTTTAGCAGATGTCAGGGAATACATACCTAGACCCACACTTCAAGCTTTGTGTGAACAGCTGAACCAGTTTTAATTTGAACTGGTCCAGCTGCTCACAAGGGCTATCACTCGTGGCCGAGTATGGTTGTCTGCTAAGGGTAGAGTCTTGGTGGTGGTTGGTCTGTAAGTGCCTGTAGAGACCTGGTTTGGCTATGCATGGTCTTTCACAATGAGGACATAGATTTCCAGATGGAAGGCAGTCACAACAAGGGTTTGCTTGATGTGCCTCCCTCTCAGCCAATTTCTCTCTTTCACCTTCTGTTCTTGCCTCTTCAAAATGCATAGCACTGTTTGTAACAGCTGACTTGCAGTTAGAATGCTTGAATGCTTATTCCACATTTTAAGGTTAGCTTTCAGCCTTACAAATCTTTTTTGTTGTTGTTCACTGTCATTCCATTTTCTATTCTTAAGCTGAAAATAAAGTAGCTGCTTTGGGAGACAGCGATTGGGCATTTTGACAATGTGGCCACTCCAGCTAAGCTGATGGTGGAGAATCATCAGTGCTGGTGGCCTTTGCTTCTTCTAGAAATAAGGGCTGGTACTACCATCCCACTTCACAGCATGAGAGGAAAAGATGGCACTTACCATTTGTGTGTTAGTCCAGAGAGCTCCTGCCTTTGTCAATATCTAAAGGTAAAGATGACCATGTAGCCAGGCCAACCTGGGCTCATCCCATTTGGACCATCAGGAGTCCACCTCCACCACTGTCACAAATGCTTCAGATTGGCTCTGGATTCAGGTGCCCATGTAGATGGGCGCGTAGTGATTTATTTTCTTCTCACTGGCAAAATCATTGTTACACTGTTGAATATTAGGAGTTTCTGTATTCTCTTTTCTATGCATTGCATGTCTTCTTTTGTTCCAGTGATAATTTCACATATAAAAGTATCTGAATAAGGAACCTACCTTTTGGAAAGTTCTCGTGAAACTTGTGGCTGTAACAGCTTGTTTAGTTTCCTTCTGAAATAATAACTTTTCATTAGTAGAGGGTTACTTACAATATTATTTGGGGTAATCTTGGGTTTTCAGAGGAGACGATGGAGAAAAGGAAGATAAAGCAAAAGAAGAGAAAGGAACACAGAAGCCGAAGCAGCATCATAAACATAGGCATGGCGAACTAGAAACACAAGAATCGGCCTTCTGGAAGAAAATAATTGCATATCAACAGAAGCTTCTTGTAATATCTCTCTTTTCAGTGGAATGTGTAATCTGCAAATGAATATATCACATGTATGATGTAGATTGGGTCAGGAGTATTTACTCACTAGCAGGAGCATTTCCTGAGATGATCAACTTGCAGGAAGCAGTGGGAAATGATTTTTATGGATTTCTTTCTTGCCCTTAAACCCTCAATATCATCTCCCATACTGTCCTGGACAGGTCCTATCCTTCCAGAGTATATGTTATTGGAGATGCTGGAGGAAGGGGATTGCAAAAGAGTTAATTTTAGGATGTTACTGTTTTAATAATGTTAATAATATCATTACCGGTTTGTGGTTTTTATTGTTTTACTTTTATTTTGTTATTGCCTTATCTTAAATATATTATTCTGCATTACCTAGGTGCAGAAAAGTAGTATAATTATGTTTAGTCATAATTGAAAATAAAAATAGGATCTTCTGCTTCCTCTGATCTATAAACATGCAAATATGACTGAAAATAGAAATCAGCAAATCAATAATTCAAACTAAAACCAGTATTCAAAAATGATTTAGAAGAAGGACATAAAACACTGTTACACCTTTAACATGATCATCATTTTTTTATAATGGTAGATTAGCCAAGTTAATTTTTTCAGACACAAGTAATTAGCATATTTAGTCTTTTCTGTGGGTTTTCCCCCCCCAGAATTATTTTGCTCGGAATTTCTACAATATGAGGATGCTGGCTTTGTTTGTTGCATTTGCCATTAACTTCATTCTACTATTCTACAAGGTAAGACCTCCAAATTCTACATCTATAGATACTAAGATGTAAATTAACATAGCATTGGAGTGTTGTATGGTTTGAATATTTTAATAATGCTTAATAATGTTCTTTTATTTTTTTAAAAAATAACTGGGCCCATTTCAATACAAAATTGCACATAGTCACTTATGTTATAAATGAACTACCTAAGTTATATTTTGAATGACAAAGAAATTAGTAAATTGATGCAAATGTTTCAACTCACAGAGAAGAAAAGTGACTCTAATTTTCATAGCTCTTTTCCCACTGTAACAGAAGATGAATATTTCTGCATCACATTCTCCTGATATTTACACATCCCAAAATATTTTGGCAAGTTATGTTTTGCAGAAATTCATGAACGTTGTGTGTTTGTGTGTGTGTGTCCAGAAATGATGCAGGTATGCCCAAAACAGATGTCATGGGTTACTTATCTGGCATGATGGAAGCCTGAGTGGCAGGAAAGCATTTTTTTCATAATTAGGCTTTGCATTATTTGACAATATGCTAGGCTAATGCCAACAAAATGTATATATAGAAACCAGCTCAATAACAACTGTTTTTGGTGTCATGCAAAAATATTGAGCATCCAGGAACTGAAAATGTATCAGCAAAACAAAAAATAACAATATAGAAAAATACAATACTGGGTAGGAAATTATTCCTTTGCCAAGCTGCAAAAGTTTTGTCACATTCACATTGCAGGCTTAAGGAAGTACCTTTGAAATGGGCTAGTTTATGAATACTACTTCCTAATGTCTGTACAGTATGTGTAATGCATAGAAGCATGACATTTTGTCGAAATGTTTATTCCACTTACTGCAAACTGCCTCAACAGGTCTCAACATCTGCAGTGGTTGAAGAAAAAGATGCCCCTGTGGTTGATATTGCTGAAAACAACAAGCTAAGCAGCCTAGAAAGTCCATCACATCGAATCATTACTGTGCACTATGTTCTTGAAGAAAGCAGTGGTTACATGGAACCTACACTCCGTATTTTAGCCATTCTGCATACAGTCATCTCCTTCTTCTGCATCATTGGATACTATTGTTTGAAAGTAAGAGGACAAGGAGGCAACTCAGCCGTATACACTCAACTATAGGTTGAGGAATTTTAGTAAAAACTTTAACCCTCGACACTTGGGTTGACTCATCCACTGGTCAGTGTTGATTCCTCATGAGTGAAGGTTGGCCCACCCAGCTCTGGGCAGAAGGAAATAAGTTGTTGATGGTGCAAATAAAGGCCCTAGAGCCTGTCTTTGTGTGCCTCCGGCTGGGTAGCTTTTCAACAATCCACTTCATAGACCACCCCCACCCCAGTAGCACAGGTATTCTGTATGGCCTTAAAAAATGATTGTTCCAGATCTGGCCTCTGGGAGAGGAGGTCAAGGGACTGGATTGGTACACATTCTTTGACCTTACAAAGTAAACAGCTCTCAAGAAGGATATCAAAGAATGCTTGCATACTGTGCACATGGAAGTCAGCACAGAAGTGGGGGATAAAGAAGCACTGAACAAAAATGGTGTTGGCCATATATAAGTCAATAACGTTCCTCTCTGAAAGTGGGTGAACATGAAGAATATTTGCCTTGTAGTGCACTTGGCATCATGGCAATCCCTTCCTGAAACTTGTTGTTTGCATGAGGTTTTTGAACAGAACACACGGGCAACAGAATACCGCTCTTTGTATTGTCCAAAAAAGGACTTTTGCACATAGAAGGCAATAACTCTGTTCTTGGGCATACTGGTCATAGCATATTCTGTAATTTTGGATCCAAAAACTGTCCTCAACTTATTTGTAAGAATGATTTATAGTCATGTATAAACAGAATGCCCAAAGCTGTAATATTAAGTGTGTTGTTAAATTAAAACTACATTTTATTGTATTTTCATTTCTATTTCAGGTTCCACTAGTTATATTTAAACGAGAAAAAGAAGTTGCAAGGAAATTGGAATTTGATGGGCTATATATTACAGAACAGCCTTCAGAAGATGATATTAAAGGGCAGTGGGATAGACTGGTCATCAACACACAGTGAGTTGTTTTTGTATACTCTTGATTTTTTTTCTTGAACCAACACAGTTTATGAAACATTTTCTTAATTTGGACCTGAATAAATATTGCTCAGATATATCTAAAGCATAAGGAAATTCTAAAACCAGAACAAGTTTGTATCTTCCTATTATATACTGTCAAGTTGACTTCGACTTATGGCCCTGTTAATTAGAGACCTCCAAGAGTCCTGGTCATCAATTGTCTTGCTCAGATCTTACAAAGTTCTGTGATTGCAATATGGCCTTTTTCTTTTCTCACTGTCTCCCACTTTACTGAGTATTATTGGCTTTTCCAGTGAGTCATGTTGTCTCAAAATATGTTGAAAGTTTGACAACATAAGTGTGGTCATTTTGGTTTCTAGTTTTATTGATCCTTTTGGTGTCCATAGAACACTTCTCAAGAAAAAAAAACATTTAAAATGTTTTCACTTTTCTTCCTGCCAGGTTTTTTCAGCATCCATGGCTATACATAGAAAGTGGAAATAATATGGTATTTGCAATTATCCAGTGTAAACTTCTGTGAGGATTTTTATTTGAAGGTTCCTTTGACTTGCACATAGCAGTTGTTTACAAGCATAACACATTTGATCATGATTATTATGTAACTTCAAATTGTTAAATCTGTAGAGGAAACCTGAGGTTAAAGGCAGAGCTTAAGATACCACTAATTCTGAGTTGTTTTCCTCTGGATCTGCAAAAGAGACTGGAGGTTAAAGACAGGACTTAAGATACCACTCTGCAGAGGAAACCCAAGGTTAAAGGCAGGGCTTAAGATACCACTGATTCTGAGACGTTTTCCTCTGGATCTGCAGAGGAGACCTATAGCCTGGCAACATCACTGTTTTCTTGGGCTCTGATTGGCCCACACACCTTTTCCTCTGATGCATGTGGAAGAACTTCCTGGGCCATGACCCAAAAACAAAACTAAGAAATGGAAACTGTGCAACTTTCTCTTTCGTTTCACCTTTTGTTTCATCTGAAAATGGCTCTTTTATTTTGTGCTCTCTGATGTACACCTTCTGGTGTAATTATGCTTTGGTTTCCATACTTTTCTTAATTATGTGGTACATTTGCAATCTAAAAATATTTTAAAATGCACCTGTTTCAATAAAATGCATTTTGAAGTTGATATATTTAGATAAATACATATTTGCCCAACCATAGATATTTATATATGAAGATATCCTTATCCATAGCCAAGGAGGAGTATTAGAGCTCCCTGAAAGAATGGCCTTTTTACATAAAATGAGCAAAGCTTAAGATGTTAATTTTGCCTCGTAATGCAGATCACCAGGCAGCAACACAGACATCATCTGAGGCAGTATGTTAGGTTGTAGAAGTGCCATTGAAGTATACTCACCTCATTACCATACTTTAGAGCTTGGAAGGGGGCAATTCCATGTAGAGCTTTTATAAAATTAGGAATAATATGCATGTACCAATATAGATAATTGCTTGATGTCTCCATGAGCAAAACAGTACGATAGGCCTTGCACCTGTAATTTGCCTTAATAACTTTATAACTGGTCCAGGATTAGATTATAGCAGGGAAGAGTGCAATTGCAACTATATTCAAGGGGAGGGGAAAGGACGCAAGGAAAGATGTGGAAGAAAAAGTATTGTGGATGTTTTCTCACAGGAAGATGTATCAGGTCCTTAAACTGTGATTTCAGGGGAATACAAAATCCTATTCTAGTTTTAAACTTCCATTTTTTTCAGTAGCCACATGGATGAACAAAAATTGAATTTTGCTCATTTCAGAATACTGTGATATTTTGAGTCCAGGGAACACTAAACATAATAATGACTTTGGGAGCCTAAGGACCTTAGTGATGAAATACCATTTACTAGAAAACCCTGAAGGAATTGCTTTTTCAAAAGTATTCAGATAAACAAGTCATTAACTCTCTAGGAGTCTCACAGATTATTTGAACACCTTTTTGCCAGTAGAAAATCCTTTTATATTAGATTTTTGTGTTACGCTTTTGTGCAGGCAGTTCTAACCACCATTAACAGTGATTTTTTTCAATGAAAAAAGCATTCAAGAGGAAGGAATGATATCTCAGATTTAAAGAAAATCTTTTTTTTAATACTTCTAGGTCATTTCCTAACAACTATTGGGACAAGTTTGTGAAAAGAAAGGTAATGATTTGTTTTTTTAAGTTGAATTATGTATTTTAGTTTTAAATAGTTTGAGCTGAATTCCGAAGCTCAAACTATTTCGGCTTCATCAGAATCTGTTAGTGGATGTGACCATATGCTTGATCCATATTTATCTTGTTTCAGAAGGGATTGATCACAATAAAATATGACCACTCAATAGTAACAATGAACTTTATTTGTTTCCCACCCCATCCTCCCCAGAGAGACTCGAGGCAGCTTACAAAGCAGCAACAATGCAAACAAAAAACATAAAATATATACAGCAAATAACCTAAATCAATAAAAGTAAAGATGAAACAAACATACAAAATTTAACATAAAACACATCAAATCAAAATAAAATAAACAATAAACATAGACAATAAATTATAAATTTTAAAACTGTATTATACAAACTAGTTGAATGTTCCAGCCACAAATCAAATTAAAATATCAGCATCAGGGTAAAAACTTCACACAGTTTAGGTCCTCTGATTATCGGATATTTGATTAACCATTATCGAAGGCCTGTTTGAAAATCCAAGTCTTCAGTTATCTCTGAAAGGTTTGAATTGTGGGGGCCTGCCTTATCTCCCTGGGGAGGGTGTTCCAGAGCTGGGGGGTGGGGGGCAATATTTTGTTAAGATAAGGATGGAAATTGTGAATAAATTTTGGTGGGCTGTAATTCTCATTATTCTTCACCATTGTTGGTTAGAACTGCAAGGAGTTTTAGTTTGTAAGAACTCATAATTTGCATCCTTTGGTTAAGAAGAGGGGAGATACTCACTTGATAGTATCTTCACTCAGCCCTAGTACTTCTTTTTCTCTCCCATCTTAACACATAACACTATGTAACGTGATTTTTGTTCCTGGGTTATAAATGTCATTTCCTAATTGGTTTTATCATAAACACATGGAAAATGTTTATTAAACTGCAAAAACTTTGTTTTTGTGGGACATTCTGCAACACATTTTGCTGTAGTTCTTCAGTGAATATCACATTGAGACTTAACTAATTCAACATAGTTTGTGGCAGCCACAAAAACGAAGTTTCTGGAGTATAACAGCTGCTTTCAAAGTAAGTACCACACAATTAGATAGGACATAACACTTTCAAACCAGGAACAGAAAACCTTTCAAATTTTGTTACATAGTGTAATCAGATGTGTCAGAGATTCAGCCATCCAAACACAGAAATTGGGGTTTTATTAACTTTCTATCTGGATGTAGGAGCCCTCGATGGTGCAATGGGTTAAACCCCTGTGCTGGCAGGACTGACAACTGACAGGTCGATGAGTCTCCTGGGGAATGTCCTTGCAGATGGGCAATTCTCTCACACCAGAAGTGACTTGCAGTTTCTCAAGTCACTCCTGACACACACAAAAAAATTTGAATGTAGTCACCCCATTGCAATCCACTGTAGATGGCTATTGCTAAGTTAGTAACAGATCTCCCATCATTTGCCAAGTAAGGTTTGGCTTGTCAGGACTAGAATTTCTCAAATTCACTTTACTTTGGAAAAAATATGTCTTTTAAGGGAGGCATGCTGGCTCAGAGATTCTGGGAGTTCTAATGCAAAAAAAAATGATGTTTCTGATCTGAATTGTTATTTTCTTAATGGTATTTGCAATTGGTCAGTTGGAATATCCAATCTTTAAGTAACGAATAATGTTTTATTTGCCTTCAAAATAGAAGGAAAATAACCATCATTCACATTCTTTCAGGTTATGGATAAATATGGAGAGTTCTATGGTAAGGACAGAATCAGTGAGTTGCTCGGAATGGACAAAGCCGCACTGGATTTCAGTGATACACGAGAAAAAAAGAAGCCCAAAAAAGATAGTTCTTTATCAGCTGTGTAAGTTCGGTTTAAAGCTTAATATACATATTATTGAGCTTATAGACATTCTCATTCTTTTAGGGAATGGCTCTGGTTTTGTGACATTCCCAAAATTGCTTTAGCAGTGTAAGGTCTTTTCATATCAAGAGTATTTATCCAAGTTTTGACTAGTCCAGAAGGGTACATTTAAATAAACTCCTGCTGCTGTTGCATTATTCCTGGGAAGAAAGATGGCAATGAAGTGCTGTTAGAGGACCATCCCCTAACTTAACAGAATCCATGCAGTAAAGTAGCATGAAATCTCAAGCCTGATAAAAGTTGTTTTGCTTGTACAGTAACCTTACATGTGTATAAGACTTATGATTTTGTACTTCTGATTCATTTGCCCCATGACTTTCACTGGAAGAAAATCTTCCTACCTACCTCTCTGGACTACTGCAAATGACAATAAATTGGAATCATCCGAATTCCTTCATTGAATAAACATACAGGAAAAAGTGTACGAGTTTATCATCTCAAAGATTAAAGAGCTTATTATAGAATTCACATTGAGTAAGAGCGGTGGCAGAACTCTGTGCAGGTTATAACTCCAAAGTCACATTAATTATACCTGGCTAAAAAACTGCTGCATGATAATATTGAAATGTTCCTTCCAATATTTTTGCCACTCTGTGTGAAGGGTAGTGTAAAGGGGAGAGGAGGAAAACAGAATGGGTGAAGCAATAGGAGAAGGGCACAGTTCATCAGGTTGCAGTACCCTTCCCCAATAATTTCTTTCTACTCAAGCGGAATGACATATTACTTATTTATATATTAACCATGTTTCCCCTCAGGTTGAATTCTATTGATGTAAAGTATCAGATGTGGAAATTAGGAGTTGTTTTCACAGATAATGTAAGTGTAAATCATCAAATATAATTTTGAACATTACAGCTCAGAAATGGTTTAGAGCAGGGCTTCTTAAACTTTTTCCACTTGCGGCCACTTTGTGCCTGAGTAATTTTTTCGCAGCTCCTTTCTGCCATTTTTTTACACAGCCTCATATTAAAATAAGTGTAAAAATCAAACAATTATTAATAATAAATCCGTATTTGCAAGACTTGCTAAATAGGCTGATTTTCCTTTTTATGAAGTGCAGCTGAAGCATATTCTGCAGAGTCTACTGCAAACACTGTGTATTGTTGCTAATATTTTCCCATATTCCCAATATTGAGCTAGAAGGACCCTATTTGGGGTTGGAATCCACAATGTAAGAAGCAGTGGTTTAGAGTATTTGTAAATATTTTAGGCATATACATTATTAGAAGAAGGCAATTTGACTCATTGGCAGTGAGATACTAACTTTAAAAAAAAACCCATTTTCAATTATGTTTCTTTTCATTGCAATAACTGTTTTGGGCCAAATTGTACATTTGTTATTAATAGCCACACAAAGTTATGATTGGTGCAGGGCCCCTTTAAAAGTCAGAAGTCTTGTGTCTTGGGGCAGCCTCTTTTGCTGTGAATGAGAACATTTGTGAATATTCTTGACATATCTAGTGTATTTTAGCAGTGAACTTGAAACATTTGTGTTTTGCCATATCAAGATTCTCTAGGCAGATGCAGACAGCCATTCAACCACACATTTTTTTTCTGGATTGCTTTTTTACATTACTATTGCTTGACTGGGTGCTGCAGAAAATCAAGATATCCTGTTCTTATTTTGCAATGTTGTTTTCATGGGTAAAATTTCAGATAAAGCTAAATTAATTTTTCTCTTGTGTTTTGGAGAGTGTAGGTGTGCATAGTGTCATGGCTTTTATAGTTCGTTTTTGAGTTTCCATCAGCAAAAGTCAACAATTCTGCTTATTTAGGCCCTCCTGAAACTTTGGCCCTAACAGCAACTTTTGCACGAAGAATAGGGAAGAACTGCTTTTTAATGTATATGTGTTGTTTGATAATTTTATGTTTCTATTTCTTTGCTGACTTTGTATGGTTTGGTGTTATATGGAAACCACCCTGAGTCCCTTAGGGGAGATAGAGTGGTATATAAATAAAGTATTACTACTACTACTACTACTACTACTACTACTATTTGATCTGGACTAGTAGGTGATTTGTGAGGACCAAATGTTCACAGAGAACTAATGATTTTTTTAGAAGTGTGGATTGGTCACAGGTCTTTGGTGAGCAGATTAATATCTCCATAAGAGGGAATGCAAATTTCTACATTGTTTTATTTAGCAGATATTCATAATTTCAAAGCTGATTGCATCACATATCTCAGAGACTGGAGCATGAAATTGTCCAGATGGGACCACTGTCTGATCTTGGTTGATGTAGTGGCTACTTCTGGATCCCAATAGCCAGTGGGGTTGAAAATGCAATTGTGGGGTTTTGATGCCCCCCTGTTGAACTATGTTTTCAATTCAAACTAGGTATTTGAAGCAAACAAAACTAGTAATACTGAACTAAATTGTAAAAACTAATTTAAAATGTTTCAATTTGGGAACTGTTATGATAAGCCTTAAAGCCTTTGTGTTTCATTGTATGAGCTGTCAGATTTACAATGATCATGTCACTTTCCTAATTTTGTTTTTATTCTTTCTTTCTTAAAAAAGTCTTTTCTTTACCTGGCCTGGTATATGACCATGTCAATTCTTGGCCATTACAACAACTTTTTCTTTGCTGCTCACCTTCTTGACATAGCAATGGGATTCAAAACATTGCGAACAATTCTGTCATCTGTGACTCACAATGGGAAACAGGTAATATAACCTTTTCTATCAATAACTGTACAAAAAGATACATGCCACTACTTAAAAACCATTGAACATGGAGGGGCAAATCTATAAACTTATCAACAATAATACATCAAGACTTACCATTCAAACCTATGTATGTCTATTCAGATGATCTGTTATATTTAATTGAAATTTTCCTAAGTGGTAACACAGACAGACATATTTTGATTGTAAACATCAATGCTGGGTATGCCTTCTGGAGATGTTTTTGGACTGTAATCCTTATAATCACTTAACTTTGCACCCTGATTTTGCCTGATACATTTAAGCAGATCTAAAGTAGGAGTGGGAATCTGTAGAGACTGCAGGGTATGGGGAAATGTTTAGTCCTATGTCGATTGGCAGGCTTTGCCATTCCAAAACTAATGATGAGCAACCAAAAACAAAACTACCACAAATTATTTCCAGTTTCTGCTTTCAGGTCTTACTAGCCAGTTTTATTCATGGCTGAGTTTAATGGAAACTGATAAACCTAGAAACTTCCAGAAGTTGCTTTTGACCATTTTGAACCAATTCCCCACTCCCATTGTAGGATGTGTTCACAGGAACTGAAATCTATCTTCCCTTTAAAAAAGAGAAAAGACAAGGCTATGTGAGACCGTGACACAGGCATTGAAATTTGCTGATCTGTAATTCATGAAATGAATGCAATATTGACATTATTGTACTATTTCTATTTACAGTTTAATATTCCATTATATTAGAATTTTATGTTGGTTGATATTATGTTACTTGATAGAATGCCAGACAGACTGATATAATGCCAGGCTTTTCTGTGCATATAATTTACTGAAGTAGCTATGCACAAAATATGCTAATCTCAAAGAATGTATGGTTCTAAAAGATTCAATATTTGGTAACTTTGAAATACAAGTATGATTTATTCATATTGGCAAGACAGAATTTCCTATCTTCTAGTACTAAGCAAAGAAACTCCTCTTTACTTTAGAATACTCAGATGTATCCAGTTCTATCTTTGTTGATTTTAATGTTCTCTTTCACCTTCTCATGTCATTCTGCATATTGTTCATGAGAGCTCTCCAGCCTTCTGTGGCAGATTTGGGATAGTACAGAAGTAATGGGAATGAGTGTCTCCTACCCTTCAGTTGATTGTGTGGTTTCATTAGCTCAAAAACTCTTCTGTAAACAGTTCAATTTATACCAACAATACTTTCACACCTACAGCATCTTTCAGTATATTTAAACTTATGCTTCCCTTTTCTGTGCGAAATGAAATTTAAGGATAGTCAGCACCTATCACTGAAAATCAAACATTATTTTAATTATTCTCCCAAATCATATTCCTATGTAGTTCTAATTTATATCTCATGTTCTTTTATTTAAGCTTGTGCTGACAGTGGGCTTACTGGCAGTGGTAGTTTACCTATACACAGTAGTTGCATTCAATTTTTTCCGCAAATTCTACAATAAAAGTGAAGATGGAGATATGCCGGATATGAAATGTGATGACATGCTAACGGTAAACCTTAATTTCCTTCATATTTTCTTTTCCAATATGTCTTAAAGGTGATATTATTCTTAAACTCATATTGTGCTCAGTGTGATTAATGTAAACTCGGTGACTTAAGTCAAAACAGCACAGAAGCTTCCACAGTTTTGCTTCCTCTACAACTACCAAAATTAAAAAGATATATATTTTTAGCTTAAGAAAAGTAACCAGAACCATTTGTCTTTCTTTTTTTAATGGTTAGACTTTTCTAATTGAATTTTTCAATTTTGGTCTGAATGTCCTGTCTAAATGTATCTTCCTCTATGAACCATTTCAGAGGTTAAGATTGTCTGGGGAGGCCCTGCTCTCAGTCCCACCTCTTTCACAGGCACAATTGGTGGGGATGAGAGACAGGGCCTTTTCAGTGGTGGCCCCTTATCTATGGAACTCCCTCCCCAATGAAATCAGATCAGCCCCCTCTCTCCTGACCTTCAGGGAAAAAATTAAGACATGGCTTTGGGACCAAGCTTTTCACAAGTAATTGGAGCAGTGTAGTAAGTGACCACAAACCAATGTGTTTGACAAATGAAATGGCCTTGGATTATGTTTTGGATGGCATGATTTTAACTGATGTTTTAATAATTCATGTTTTAATTGTTTGGTTTTAATTATATTTATTTATTTGATATATGTATGTATGGCATCAAATTGCTACCTGTTGTAAGGCTGTCTTGAGACCCCTCCAGGGTGAGAAGGACAGGGTACAAAATATGTCAAATATATAAATAAAAATAAATATGGGAGTGTGGAGATTCTGCATGGGTGAATATGCAACTCTAAAATGTGAGCACAAGGCATTGTAATGAATAATATTAGTTTGGGATCATGTCCAAATCAGAACATAATCTTGTAGAACTTTATATTGAGTGTGATGAATTTACCCTTTCCCTTGAGACAGGTATACATCTACAGTCTTTGCCAATTATTCTATTATTGGTGGTTATCTCACAGTATGTCTGATTATCAAAAACCAAGAAACACTTTTCATTTCAATATCTCTTTGTGTACTTACAGTGCTATATGTTTCACATGTATGTGGGTGTCCGTGCTGGTGGTGGCATTGGGGATGAAATTGAAGACCCAGCAGGCGATGAATATGAAATCTATCGAATCATTTTTGATATTACATTTTTCTTCTTTGTAATTGTTATTCTACTAGCTATCATACAAGGTAAGCATTAATTGTATTGATATTTTGGTGGATGTTGTTAATGTGGACCAGGTACTTGTTTAATTTTTCTTCTTCGTGGCTTTGACCATACATCAAGGGAACCATGAGAGGCATCTCCCAAACAGGATACCTCCAGGCGACAGGCTATCTCTATGCAGATACCCTCACCAATTGACTTTGCAAAACTTCATAGCTACTCAAATTCAAGCTTGCTAATGACAACATTTACACTTGCTTTAAACAGGCAAGGGTTCTTTCTCCCACTCTGGACATTCTAAAGGTATATATACACTCTGCTTGCCTCACTGCCATCAGCACCTCTGGGGATGCCAGCTATAGATGCAGGGGAAACATTAGGAGAGAATGCTGCTGGGCCATGGTCATACGGCCTGAAGAACTCACAGCAACTAAACATTCATTTTTACCTGTTTGTGTTGCACTTTTATTTTTTCATCATAAAAATAATCCTGATGTTAACTGATATCTTATTTTTCCCAGGACTTAAAGAAAAACATATTGTGCTGATCAAATTTTTTAAATGTACATTTTTCATGTGTGATATTTGTGTTTTACTCTCTGGGGTTTTGTTTAATTTTTAAAATAGATTAAGTCTTGATAGGGAAAGGATTAATTTTGCTCTATAGTTCAGCAGAGATGAATGAATTCAATTGTTAATAAATTTGTGGAGAAAATAGTTTTGAAGGCATATATTAAACCCTTAATGGTATCAATCTTTTCTTCTATAATAGGTTCAGAAACCAAAGGGATGTTCAAGAGAAAATTTCTAGGTCAGGGTTCTAGAGGTCAGCACTAAAAAGAACTAAAGAACTAAGAGAGCCATGTTACCATTACAGAATACATTTCCAGAGGCATGTTATAAGTCAAATAGCTTTTCAAATGGAATAGAAATATATGGTTAAATCCATAGTGGAGAGTTCAGGTAAAAAGTTGAACTCTTCTTCTACTACTACTATTTATTTATACCTCACTTTATCTCCCCTGAAGGGGGCTCAAAGCGGCTTATTCAGTACTTCAGTGCTGCCATAGGCAATTCAGTGGAAAAATATGGGATGCATAGGATGTAGACAAGTGAGTTCACCATAGATTTATTTTATTTCCTTTACTCAAATGCTGCAAGTTTGACTACTGACTTATATGTGCAAGGAAGTAAAATAGAACTCCTCTCCTAAATGTTTCCCAGGGCTAAACATACTAATCAACTGGTAAACTAATCTTTGTAGGTAACATTTTGAACATAATAATTCATCAGAAGCTCTAATTTAAGCAATCAAACGCTTATGGTTTCCATGATTTGTTATTTCTTATAGCGACAGCAGTAGTCAAAAATTCTTACGAAGGAAGATTTCCTTATTAGCAACCTGACCTCACCCTGTCTAATACTGGTCTTTTGAGCTAGACTGAAAATATACATCCTCTACTAGAAGTAGGGGGTTTGTTTTGTTTTTTGTATTGTAATTTTGTTTTGGGGTTTTCACCAATTCTGTGGCAGATATGAAATAAAAGAGGGAGAAAAATGATTCACAAATTATTCATATAGTTTCAGGAGTATGGTGATTGTAATAGCCTAAGAGGATGTTCTTTATTTTTCTCTTTGTTTTTTTTTAAAGATAATCAACAGAGCAACAACTCAGTTGCTTTTCCCTTCCTTCCTAGATGATTCCTGAAAAGCACGCTGGACATGTTAGCATTTCTAGAACTGATTCTTCAGTTTGGAGTAAAATAATTCTTTATCCAGTTATAGCCTCTAAGGAGCTTAAAATCATGTTGTAATTTTATGGTGAAAATACAGAAAGTTTACAGACCGGATTGAAAGTGATTCTGACACTGATATTGATAAATGTTTTTCCTCAAACTATTCAATCAGAAAAAATATCCCCCTGTTCAGGGTTAAATAGATCAGTAAATATCTTGTTAATCAAATATGTCTACTCAAAAGGAAAAGGTCTGTTTTTCATCTATGAATTGCCAGCAGTTCCTGTAGGCATATGTTTAGTGTCAAGTATAGAAGCTATTCCTGAATGCTTCTATAATTGGCCATGCTTCCTTCTACTTATATACTAACGATCTCTTCACACTGGGCTAAAATCAGTGGCATGCAGTGGTTTAGCCCAGGTCACCCACCAGCTCCCATCAGATGATGCTGGTGCGGGTCTGTGGGTGAAGAAAGGTGGATCTGGTGCACGTCACATCCAGGGCAACACGGGAGGCCTCCTGTGTTGCCATTAGACTGCATGGGGGAAGCAGTGTGCTCCACGTGCGCTCCATACTTTCCCCCCATCTGATTTCCCCCAGCTGGAACTGGGCAAAGGGGTGTGGGGCACCAGGTTCCCCATGCTCCCCACACTCCTTGACAAAGTGGAGCACCTCCAGTGGCTGTGTGACAAAGTTGTTAGTCCCTGCATTGCCACTTCCTGCCTTCACAAAGAACTAATTTCAAGCTCAGAATAAATCAGTCTCTTTACTTATAAGGAGGAAGACAGGAGAGCATGCCAACTAAAAATGTCATTGTTAAGTTCTATTTTCTTGGGAGATCCCATAAAAGCCTGAAGTGGAGCTTACTTTTACCCATTGTCCAATTTGATGCAAAGTATGCAAGATGTTGCACAACTGTCCATTGATGACAAATTTCTGACTCCTGAGTTTCTATCAGTGCCAATTGCTCCAGTGTCTCTTTATCCTTTTGGTAGGTCAAATTTTCTGTTCCATTTTATTTAAATTTGTGGCTCTGATGTGATTTATTTCTTTATTTCTCTGTTTCTAAGCCTTGATTTGTTATTTTAGTTTAGCTCTGTTAAACTAAATCTTAATGTAATGTGCATTCAAATCAACTCCAACACAACCTTTCTAGGCAACATTTATTCTGAAGATATTTGTCTTTGCCTATCCTACCTGAGACATTGTGACTTGCCCAAGGCCATCCAGTGGGTTTCCGTGACTAAATGGGAATTCAAATCTAGACTCCTGAAGTTCGAGTTCACTGCTCTAGCAGCTTTATCATGCTGGCTTTGGAAATTTGTACTGACTGTAAAAGCTTGATTTAGAAGAAAAATGGTGAAAACAATATAGTCTCTGAATAGTTTCCCATTGACCATATTTAGCCATTAAAATTTGTGTGGAGAAGTCCTGTAGGGTGAAAAAGAAAGCTGAAAATGAACAGAGAAGGATTTATCTTCTATAGTTCGCTAGGCTGCATATAAGGTAGATCTGCTTTAAAAGGCAAGCCTTAACATTTCAGATAAGCAGGCACATTCTGTGATAAACAAAAAGCTTGATAACATATCTGCTGGGCTGAAGAATTTGGCCTAGAAATCTTCACTAGATAGGGAGAAACAGCACTCAGAAGGACAGAGGAAAATTGGCTTCAATATATGTAAATGTATCTGCAGGTAGTTTACCATGGTAGATGATGTAAATAAGTGTTTTGCAGGATCTCTTCTTTTTTAAAAAAACTGTTTGGTACCACTTCACCACTTGCGATTGACTCTGGTCCAATGTTCAGTATCACCAGTAGAATGACTCAGTATGCTATCATGAATCATGAGCAGTGAGTTGAGTGCTTTTCTAAAAAGCAGCAGTAGGTCTAATTTTAACTCTGTGTTCATAGTTGTTGCTCCATTCTGCTAGTAATGAAGATTTCCACTAGGGTGATGCTTATTGCAGTTCTGCCACCTCTTAAAGGAGGGGAAAACCTTTTTAAACAGGAAAACAATTCACTCCTGCTGTTTTAGAGATTTATTCTATCCCCTGACTCTCTGAAAATATCCATTTCAGAAGAGATATAGCCCTGAAAAGTCTGGCAAACAATTTTCAGCCACAAAATCATATGTGATTTCTGTATGCCACAGAATACACTAAACAGAATTTTGGATTTCAGACTTAATGATGCATCTTAAGGAACTAAACTGGTAAACTTTGTAATAATTGCATGCTCAAATATTTAACATATCAATTCATATTTATTACTAGGGTTAATTATTGATGCATTCGGTGAATTGAGAGATCAGCAGGAGCAAGTTAAAGAAGACATGGAGGTAATACATCTCATTATTTTCTTTGTACTCTGTAATATATTGTGCATTTGTAGAATTAAAATTTAATTTACTAACTTTATCCTCAGCTAGGGATATTTGTATTGCTATATCGAGCTGTCTTTGAAAATTGTTTAGAAATTTCAGCAGATCCAAAAAAACAAAAACAAAACAAAAACAGTTGGAGGGTTTTTTTGGGGGGGGGGGGGTTTGGAGCACATGATTCATTTGTGACAAAAACCCCACTGGATGCCAGGCTGTTTCCAAGCCCAATTTAAAATACGGCGTATACCTTATACATCCCTAGATTACTTAGACCAAGACTATCCGAAGGGCTATATTTTCCAATTGAACTTATTTGTGCTTTTCAAGGGAGGCACCTTTTTTAATCCCACCACCACTTTCACAAGCACATTTAGTGAGACTGTAGGAGAGGACCTTCTTTGTGACTGCTCCCAGGCTTCCTTTTTGAGGAAAGCTGAGCTAGTTTTTCCTTGCTGTCCAGAGGTTCTTATTCTAGAAGACATTGGGGAATTTATAGTTTTACATGCAGGGACTTTTTGTTTTAATGTGCAGAATTATTTTTGCTCTTTTAACATTTAAAATGGTTTTAATTTTATGCATAGTTTAATACCATTTTAACCTTGAGTTTAACTACATGTATTTGTATTTTGTTTAAACTGTAAGCCTCCTTGAGTTCCAGTATATAAAGAGTGATTAGTTAATTGATATTATTGCTATTATGATTAATATTATGTCTTGTGATGTGATACAACTCTATACTGAGTGGTACTGGTTCTCCAACGTCTTTCCAGTCTTGCTTCCTAAATTCTGTAGTAATGATATATCATGGGGAGTCACCATTCTTTCTTTCTATATTTGATGTATGCAATAGGACTTCTCTGCAGCTTAGGTGCAAACAGTTAGAAATATATGCACTTAGATATATATTTACTGCTTTGTTTCATTTTTGCATTCAAGTACAATAATTTCAGATGTTATCTGAATCTCACCTGGTTGCCCCCTCTGACAAGCTTTACACAGTTCATGATATTTGTGTGTTTGTGAAAACTTGTTTGAGATAGGCCAAACATTTGTGCACAACAAACAGGGTTTTTTTTTTGCATAAAGTACAGGAATTTGTTTTAACAAAATGTTTTTATTGCATTTTTTTCCACTTAAAAGGCTTTGGAAAAATGTGGCTGAAGACAAAATGTCTCAGTTTGGAGGCACTCTATGTTGACAAAAACTAGAAAATTTATGAGAAAAATTCTGCTTGCTCTTTTTTTTATTCTTTCTCCTGTTGTTCAACAGAGTAATTTTTGCATAAAGAATGAAGCAGTTATGATGACTCAACATTTTCAGCAGACCTTTTCCTTACTGAATTTCAAACTTCTTGTCTGTCATTTAAAATTTCCTGCTGTACTGTTCCTAACTATTGGCATACTGAATATGTTTTCTTTATTTTTAGACCAAATGTTTTATCTGTGGGATAGGTAATGATTACTTCGACACAGTGCCCCATGGTTTTGAAACACACACATTACAGGAGCACAACTTGGCTAATTATTTGTAAGTACTTTAATATCTACAGCATATTATATCAGAAGGAAATCAGACAACATAGTATTTTGATGCGTATACCATTATCCAAATTCATATATAAATAATTACACATGCCTTTTAAACTTATGGGACTTCTTTTGATTTCTACAAAACAAATTATTGTACTTTTCAACTTTGTTCCATATTTTCAATAAAATATTAATTTGTAATTGTCAGTATCACAAACAACCTTTTCTTTCTTTGTCTTAGATTTTTCCTAATGTATCTCATCAATAAAGATGAAACAGAACATACTGGACAGGTACGTCAAAAAGAGAATGTTTCATTGATATGGAACTGTAGCATATATAATACTTGAAATCCATGAGTCTCAACCATAGGTGCTCTAGCTCTTGAACTTTGGGGAAGAGTAGTGACTCTTGTGCCTAACAAACAGTTCAGTAGGTTGCTAAACACATGGACCTGAATGGCTGCAGCCCTGCAGCACAAAACGTTTTCAGTATTTCAGTGGCTGAGTTGTAGATGGGTTTGGAGATGGAGCAGTCATAACTATTTCCAATGCAGCAGTGGAAAAAAAACCACTTCAAAATATTCCTTCCTCAAAGAGGGCTTTAAAAGAATATAAAAATATTCAAGATTATGCTAGACTTCCCATGTTTTGTTTAGAAGAGCCATTTCTTCTTTCCTTAACACTCATTTTGAGTTTCCCACTCCGATTATATTTTCAAGCCAAGTGTTCTCCATTCAGTTCAGGTATTTTTTTATAGCTGCGTCAATGTTTTTCTTTCCTTTGTTATAATACTTTTTGCTGGTTTGTTTTTGAAAATTTGGCACTGCAAAAAATGAAATCAGTGATTGTGGAAGAGCTATGGTATTGCTCTCCGATAGGCTCACAAATGTGATGAGGAAACTGGGAATGAAACAGAAATTGAATAAAACAAAAACAGTCTACTCAGTCAGCTATAGTCAGATGATTTGAATTTAAACTGTAGAAAATAAAATCTAATTTATCAGATATTAGTGAAATTATTCTTTATTTAAATCTACAAAATGTTATAACAACTAGTTAGGATATTTGAAAAATAAGACAATGTTACATGTTCACCCAAAGTTGATGTGAACAATGTGCCTGCTTCTTGCAATAGAGTTGGTCAGAGTTTAGCGAAGATTTCCTGAACTCTCCCTTCTTGCCATGTATTCTTTTAATGCCAGGAACACTTTCATTATTATTGTTCACCTGGCTAACAAAGGTCCAGCTCAATTTTCTTCCAATACTCTTCTCTCTCCTTTTCTCTCTCTTCTGCCTTTCAAACACATTTACTGCCTGGCCGAGTCACTTGGTTTGCTGACTCCTCGTCCCAGCTGTGCTCCTGTGATCTCTGCTGACAGTTTCTGAGCTGGAAGTGATAGGTTTTTCTGTTTTTGCTCATCCTGCATAACAGAGATGGGGGAGAGGAGGAAGAGGAGGGAAGCAGCATGGCACCACCTGGCACGGAGCCCCTCATAATCACCCATGGGGGAGCCCCAAGGGCTCCACAGCGCACACTTTGGGAACCCTTGCTCTAACCTATCTATTCCTTTTTAAAATGAGGTGACCAGAAGTGAACAGAGTATTCCTGATGAGGCCTGACCAGGACATAATATACAGGGACTTTTACTTCTCTTGACTTGGAAACTATGCTTCTATTAATGTAGGCTAGGAACTCATTTGCCTTCTTTTTTATGTTCTACTTATCATCAATAACACAGCCCAACCAAAAAATCTTTCCTTGGTGTCTTGGTTTATAGGCCTGTTCCTGGAGTTATTTGATTCAGAAAATTGGATAGACTGCATCAGCTCTAGCATCTTTGATATAGTTATCCTAATTTTCTATTGGTGAGCAGATGGTGATGGCTAGATGGCAAATATTTTGTAAAAACTAATAAGAGAAAACTGGTGCAATTTTTGGGAATTATCAGGTCAAATCTACCTAGAAACAGATCTAACATTTGAGGCATCAAAATGTGTCTAGGCCACAGTGATAATCCTAAAGTCTTTTTCACATGTAGTATTGCTGAGCCATCCTATACCTGTGTATTTGGTTTTTGTGGCCAAAGTGAAGGAAACATACTTGCAACTTGCAATAATGATTTAAATTTCCAGGTTAAATGACAAGAAACTTTGGAAGATCTATTCATTTACAGTTGTTTTCTGTGTATTACAGGAATCCTATGTATGGAAAATGTATCAGGAAAGATGTTGGGAATTTTTCCCTGCTGGTGATTGTTTTCGAAAGCAGTATGAAGACCAGCTTAACTAACTATAATCAAGGACCATTTCTTGAGAAACCACCAACACCTCTCCCAACTCCTTTGGGAATGTATAACCAGATTTCTTAGATCTGTTAAGCAGTGTGCTGTTTGGAGCACTAAAGCTTTTTTTGACAACTCAGCTGTCCTTTTTTCCTTCTGTGTTTGTTTTGAGAACAGTAAAAACATGACTCTGGGAAGAGAAGAAGAAAAAACCAAACCCACACAACAAATCCCCATACATAACATGAACACATGCACACAAAAAGAGACTTGAGACAGCTTTGTTTTCCCTCTGAGACTGCCTGATTCCCTTAACTGAGAGAACATATATGGGGTAATGTGATAGCCACATTCATTCAATTTATTTCATCATCCTGGAAGGAACTCTGAAGTTCAGAGTGCTATAAAGGATTGTTGTGGACACTACGTTGTGGGGAAATAGTGCCTTACTATATGTAGGTTGAGCTATGCAGAAGATAGGTGCATGACAACATCTTATATTTTCTTTATTTGTTCTCTTTTTCCTCCCAATTAATATTTATTTTGTCTTCTGGAGGGAATTGGGAGAGATTTGGCTGTGCACACCATTTCATAGGATAATGGTGTGGCTCAGGATTTTAAAAAGGTATTTTTTCTCATTATGCTAAATTCATAGGTATCTTTCTCTTTATCTCCTACACTTATTTTGGTAATGCTCTGGTGCAGCACTGCAACTTTATGAAATCTTTGTATGAAAACAAAAAGACTGCAGAAAAAACTTTTAAAAGGATTATTTCATTGCATGTTTATTATGCAAGTTTAAACAACAAAAAGCAACCTTCAGAAGCAAGTTGATCAACATGGGAAAATATTCATAGTAATAAAGTGTTGTGGGCTTTATTGTACATTTGGAACCAGTGTCATCAACCCACTATGTATATGTTATGAACTTGCCAGTACTTTATTTTCTATTTCAGTTCACTTTGACATTTGTGATCATTAGTGGAATTAAAATTTTCTTAGGTCAATTTTTAACTCAAAGGTGAAGCAATATCCATTCAGGGATTTCATTAGTTGCATCATGAAACATCAAGTGATGTGTACGTCACTCCATTTTGAATCCTTTTTTGATTGTAATGCCAGTCTTTACAAATAAAAGAAGAGATTTGGAATGGAAGCAAGACTATTTGCTATTAACTTGGCTTCTTAAAGGAGGTTGTGTGCGCTGCAACCATAAACAAAGCCTGTACCATAACCCATTCAACCATCACTGCATTATTAAACTACATTATATGACAGTGTAGACAGAACCCAAGTGTCTTGCCCCCAGTCTGAAATATGTACCTCACCAGGCCGATAAATAATCTCTACCCAGAAATAAACACCTGTGCACTGAATGTGGTGGTGTGTTATCAAAAGAGCCAGAGTGGTCTGTCGATGTCTGCCATTACCTTGTCTCAGGCAGTTAGCAGATGCCCTCAGCTACTTTCCCCACCCATCTGATCTATTTTGGAGTTTTCATTACATAGCCACACCTCCCCATCACTCATGCTCACATTCAGTAATTCAAGGGACCCCTCAGTCATGGAGGAAGCTACCTGTTTCCCGACCCACAGATTACTAAAGACTTTCTGGGGACTGACAAACCTTAGTCAGGACCCTGGCTATCAGGCTAAACAGTCTGACAGTTAAAGCCTTCCTGCTGTTTCACCACAAAATATCAACATTCCTCTAATCTTACAATGCCCTATGTGCCAAAAAGGAATCCCATGGGTCAGGATAGCCAAGGATCAGCTGACATGTGGATGGTACAAGTTCAGACTTTAAATGGACTGAGAACTATAGTACCATCCACTCCAAAGCATCTCCATTTTATTCTGCTTGTGCAAATAACACTATGAAATCATTAATAATCTCAGTACAGGCTTTAAGGTTTGCTGGGGACAGATAATTGCATGCTCCCTACAAAATCATTATCTAAAAAGTAGCCATAAGTCTTCCGGAAAAGGATTGTGATGAGTACATACACAGGTACAATGGTAACAACTCTCCTGTTGCTGCCTCTTCCTGGGCCCACAAACACAAAGGAACCGAAGATGAAGAAGCAAATCCAGGGGAATGAAGATGACATCTTTGGACAGTGCACTAGTGACATGGCTCACAAAACTCTGCCCAGGTAAGTCTGAGGACTGACAGTTCATTGTCTTTAGACCACCTGATGGTAGACATATTTTTGTTAAAAGCAAAATGTCTCTAGATTCAAAAATGCAGAACAATTATTTTTCCCTAGAATTGGCAGTTCCTTAGTACAGTTTCTAAGTATACTAAGTGAGTAGAGTATCTCTCTACTCAATATTTACAAGCATATAATCATCACAGTTGCTCTGGCACACTTGGACTTTTCTTACACTCATAAGTACAACTCATAAGTACTTGCTCTAGATAGACTCCTGGAAATATGATTATTTATGAAATGGTTTTTCATTATTATTCTTCTAAACCTGCTCTTTTGCCTCTGTGTTTTTTTTAATAAATAAATATAAGCACAAATCAATACACAAGTGGGCACACTAATAATTGAGATTTGGTTGAGGCAATTCTAAATTAATGTATGTTCATTCATATATGGAGAAACATAATATGATATGGGGAGAGACTGTTTCTTCTTATTTACAGTCTATAAGAACACAATTTTCAGGTTATGGGCCCAGGAGGGGCCTTGGGGAAGGATCCAGACCAAGCACAATCTGAAGACCTCAACAGCAGAGCATCTGGATGACAACATGGTATATGTTGCAATGGCTGTGAAAGTGGAAGAAGGCTGCAACAGATGAGTAACTACTGTCATCGTGTTAATCATGCCACTGGATGTGCACCTCATTCTGTGAAGACTGTGTGTTTATTGGGTGTGCACTGACCTCCACACATTAAAAAAAGACCCATGCACAGGTGTCTTAAAAGAAAAACCAGCAAAAGTCCTATGGTGATCAGCGAGTGGTGATGAGGGCAGGACTGTGAAATCTGGAAGGCCCTAGTCATACACTGGCACATGGGCAGTGGATATGGATTCAGTTGTTCTACCTCAAGGTCTGAGGCAGTTGTATCCATGACTGAGCAACCCTTTTTAGGATCCACTCTGCTCATCCCACATGGGAAAGGGGCTAGAAAAGGTGCCCTAAACATAGTATCCCTCTCTCATATCTGACTGAACTGCTGAGTCCAGAGCAGTTACCACCATGCAGCCAAAAAGACAAACTTTGGAACATGGTACACTGTTGGACAACACAGACAGTGAACGTCCTGAGCACAGGACTCTTACTATTGCAAAAAAACAAGAAAGCCAGTGGACCTAATGGGATCCCTGCTGAAAGCTTTAAAGAGGGTGGACCTGAGTTGACAGAACAATTCCACCAGCTCATTGAAAAAGCATGGACACCTGAGAAAATCCCAGCAGACTTCCAAGATGCCACTATCACCACCCTTTTTTTAAAAAAAAGAAAGAACAAGCTGTAGAAGCTCTTGAGGGATCTCCACTAGGGAAATCCTCAAAAGAATCCTTGCAAACTGCCTTCTGAAAGACATCCTCCCAGAATCCCAGAATGGCTTCCATCCTGTAGAGGAACAGTGGATATGATCTTCATTGCACGACAGCTCCAAGAAAAATGGAAGTAATAAAATCAACCTCTGTACATGGCATTCATTGACCTTGCAAAGGCATTCAACAAGAGGTAGGCGTATCAAGCCAACCCTTATCAAGGGCACTCTCCACCTGAAAATCAATGCCCTCACTGCGGAAGAACATGCTGATCAATAATTTGCCTCTACAGTCACCTACAGACCCACCATCAAGACACTACACTTGGAAGACCATCATACTCAGACACAATTGATCGCTGATGGTGACTGTAAAACATGACAAATACCCATCCATGTTGACTGGTACTTTGTGGAATAATTTAAAATGGCAGCTATGGCAATTTTACTGTCAATAAGAATTTCTATTCTACACAGCTTTTAGTAGGATACATTCTACTTGGAAATGATAGCAAATAATCACTACTGGGTTCATCAAACAATGGTATTTGTAATGTGCTCACAATTAGTCTTTTAAACAGCATAAAACTTAACGGTGAATGATGAGATCTACCAAAATAATAATGTAGCTCAATATTTCTTGGTATAATTCCATATTGCTATTGTACTTCATTCCTACAAATGTCATTGGGACTAAGATGAGGTATATGGCCATCTCTGAATCCCTTAGCTCCTGCTGCCTTCTCCAAAACATACTTGGAAATGATATTAAGTTTAATGGTTTTTTCCTAAAACTTGAAATGTTTTTCAAAGAAGCTTTGTCTTGTTCAGTCATTCATTCTAATATCCTATTAAAAAACTTTTTGGTAAATGCCTGTAGTTGCAGTGCATTGCTGACTTCTGCTGCTAAATTACTTTACCTAATAACATTTCCTTCATACCTGAATAAACATTTCCTTATTTAGCTCCAAGCCATCTGGTACACTTCCAACAGACATCTAAGACTAATTATTTTCATTTCCATTATGGCCTTGGAAATACTTATAGTTCGTGATAATCTTCTGGGTCTTTTCAGCATATATTGTACATTAAAATATGTATTTAATGTAAAATAAATACAAAGTTTTGCCACTTGATTGATGTCAGACTATTGTATCTGGTTAAGTCTAAAATTAATACGTAATCTAAGATTTAGCATATGGTAGGACTGATTTCATTGGAAAATGGAATTCTGTGATAATAGTAGTTGAGAATCAGCAACCATCATTCAAACTACTTGAATGTAGTTTCTGTCTCTAAAATCAGCTATGCTTCTAAAATATGAGTGACAAGCAATCTGTATAGTTAAGAAAGCTATAGTAAAGGCAGATGCTAGACACTGAACTTACAATGTCCTCCATTCAAAACACACTCCTTACCCTTCCTTGTGCAACTCCTGTAGAGGGAAGGAGCTGGTTATTTTTTTTAAAAAACCCTTTTCCTCATCCTCCTCATCCTCCTGTTACTGGACTGGTTGGGTTTTTGAGTATATATTATCATCTCTAGAAGACTGCTACTTGATTCCCATGCAGTATCAGATGTGTATATGTTAGGAAATGGTTGCATGGTTGGTTATCTCAGATAAAGAACCAAAGGAAATAAATACTGGGATTTATTACTAAAGCCATTAGGAATAATAGGATCATAGAATCATAGAGTTGGAAGAGACCTCGTGGGCTATCAGTCCAACCCCCTGCCAAGAAGCAGGAAAAAGCACCCTGACAGATAGCCATCCAGCCTCTGCTTAAAAGCCTCCACCACACTCCGGGGAAGAGAGTTCCACTGCTGAACAGCTCTCACAGTTAGGAAGTTCTTTCTAATGTACAGATAGAATCTCCTTTCCTGCAATTTGAAGCCATTGATCCGTGTCCTAGTCTCCAGGGCAGCAGAAAACAAGCATGCTCCCTCCTCCCTATGACTTTCCCTCATATATTTATGGTCATCATGTCTCCTTTCAGCCTTCTGAAACATGCCAAGCTCTTTAAGCCACTCCTCATAGGGCTTGTTCTCCAGACCCTTGATAATTTTAGTCACCCTTCTCTGGACAAATTCCAATTTGTCAACATCTCCCTTAAATTGTGGTAGTATCTGTATCAGGTGTTTACTGTCTATTAATACCAAGAAGGTTTCATTAACTACTCCCTGCCACCCACAGCCAATGTCTAGTTTACTATTTCTTAAACAGAAATTTGTCATGTTTTAAGCAGCCCTTATTCCCCTTGAAATATATGCAGATTCACTCTTCTGTGAGTGTCGGAGATTAGCTATAAATCTAACACTTAATGAAAAATATTAATGGGTTTGTGCATTGCTCCTCGTGAGCCTATTGCCTCAGCTACCCTGCACTCAGAGAGAGAAACATGAGCCTGATCTATCAGGCGTGAAATCCGCACATTCCAGCTTGACTCCAAATAATCCTTAATGCACTAGAGCATGACTCAAGTGCTTCATTCATATTCATACTCTTGTATTGCTGTCTACCCCACCCTGATTATGAGCATTGTTGAGCAACAAGCACAAAAAGGAAGGCCTGAAATATGTACAAACATGAACTGAAAAACAAAAGGAATGATAAAAATTACATCTTGTGCTTAAAGGAGGTCT